AAACATCAGGTCAAGCATGATCTGTATGACGGTTTATTTCGTGTTTTTTATTTGTTTTCAAAAATGCAGATGAATCAATAACGACTCAAAATAACAGATTTCATTTTAGATGAATTCAAGCCATTGATTTCCAAAAACATCTTCATCAAAAATAAACATGTTAAGATGTAAAATATGTTTTATGTTTATGGACCTGTTTAATCATTAGAATATTTGTTAAAAAATGTTTTCATTTCTACTTTGTGAAGGACAAACACAAACATAGAAAAGCAATTAGCTCAGAAGCACGTATAAATGAGTTATAATAATCATATTAGACTTTGATTTGGGCATCATTGGACCAAAACTACATGCTGCTCTATCAAGTAGGACAGCTCCTTTATTGACTTTCCAGCTTCGGCAAACACTCTGTCACCCCCTAGTGGTCGATTTTATATTTGTCTCAGCTGATGCAAAGTTTAATCACATCAGAGCCATATTGTTACAGCACAATGCTCTATATTTGTACTATATTTAGTTTTACTTCATTGCAGGATTATCTTTATTTATTTTGTAAATGTACAGTTTAGTGTCTACCTTTAAAACATAAATATAGCAGGGCAGCAGTAGTGAAGAGGTAGAGCTGGGTCCCCAGCAATCGAAGGATTTGGGGTCAAACCCAGCTCCTGTCAGAGTAATCTGCTGTTGTGTTCTTGGGCAAAAGACTTCATCCAATGTGTTGGCGGTGGTCAGAGAGGCTGATGGTGCAAATGACTCGGTCAGACTGCTCCAGGGTAGTAGCTTACCATCAGCGGCTGTGTGTGTGTGTGTGTGTGTGTGTGTGTGTGTGTGTGTGTGTGTGTGTGTGTGTGTCCCACTGACAAGAGATAAGAAGAATAAACAAATAAACCAATTTGCTGCACAAAGCATGAGTTTAAGCCTGTAAAAAAGTATCAATCTGAAAAGTCCTTTAAAAAAACAACTGAAACTGCATTTGTTTACTCAGGCTTTTAATTTTTTTTCATGGATTTTTAACTCTGTGAAGTTTTGTTTTGATGCCTGCGCCGTTCTCTGTGGTATCTGTATGATTTTTGTTTGATCGCTTTGCTGTTGTGAAGCACTTTGATTCTTTCTGAGAAAAATGCTTAATAAATAAATATGCTGGTAAAGGTTCTCAGTCATCCAGGTCATGGTAATCCAGAAGGTTCAAATGAAGACAACTGGAATATGGGAGAGTCAAGCTTGACTCTCCCATATTCCAGTCAGAATTGACAAAACTCCTCCTTTGAGAAGTTAAACATCTTCAAGAAACCAAAGAAGTCCAGTTGCCTTCATTTGAACCCTTTTGAACTTCATAAATAAACACTACTTTCTTACTAATCTGATAAGCACCACCTGTTTAGCACAAAAAATGCATTTTTGATCTAGATTTATTCATTTTACTATCACACATTGAATTCCTGTAAATTGTTTTAGAAGCATCAATAAGAGCCAAATGAGCCTGATGTCTAGTTTTCCCTCCAAGTTTTGTCTATTACTGTCAGGGCAGTGCTCAGCTTCATGAAATGTGACTGAAACATGCATTTATTTTTTATATTGCATTTTCCTTCACTAATCAAAGTGAGAAATAGCACAATACTAGAACTAGTGCAACGTGCATCAGCAATGACAAACACATATTTGTTTATTTTCAACAAAGCGAAAAGAGCAGCATGACCTAATGTCCCACACATCAAGTAATGATCAACTGCCAGCAGATGTAAGCTCAGCAGGGTGTGTTTCAAGTTGGTGTGTGTGTGTGTGTGTGTGTGTGTGTGTGTGTGTGTGTGTGTGTGTGTGTGTGTGTGTGTGTGTGTGTGTGTGTGTGTGTGTGTGTGTGTGTGTGTGTGTGTGTGTGTTCAAGAGATACTTGTTAATATTAACTCAGGTTGTAAAGCCTAGAAAACACAGGTCAGCCTTGTTGCCACACTGAAAAAATGGAAGTCCTCTGTTCAATTTACTTATTCCTTACATGTAGTTTCCTTATAACTGAATCACGTTTGTAGGATGATTGATTTGTGTAATGCCAACTTAAAGGGGTACAATGTCGTTTATACATGATTCCTTCTTGTTGAGATAACATGAATAGATTGTGTTTGTGATTCCACTTGCTGATTACTGTTGGATGGAACAGATTTACCAGCATGCCACACTCTTTCTGACTGTTGAAAAATAAAATAAGTCAGTTGATTGCAGTTCAAGTTCAATTCACTTTTAAAGTATTGTAAATGAAATTAAATATACATGTGCTAAAACAGTTTTGTATAGTTTACGAGTTGGTAGCGAGCAAAAAATTAAAACCATGATTAAAAAGATATTCATACAGAGGGGTTCAAAAGGCACTCGGCAGTGCCTCCAACTAGAATACCACTGCTGGAAATCACAGGGAGTGTATGAAACATGGTCTAAAGTGAAGGCCGATGTATTCCGTTTTTTCTATATCAGCCAATGGCTGATTTAAAAAAAAATCAGGAGCCTTTTTCATTGTTTACACCTAAGGGAATATTCCACCCCTAAGTAAAATTTTGTCTGTTAGATTTCTCAGAGTTAGATAAGTGAGAAAGGGGATTTTGTAGCTAACAAGTTCAGTCATTCTCCTGATCTGGAAGCAGTACGTTTTACTTTAGCTTAGCATAAAACAATGTAAGTAAAAGAGAGGTTCTAGCATAGACAAAACTTTACTTCTGAGTGGAATGTCCCTTTAAGTTTGGTGTTCAATGTTTGCACTATTTTTATGTATAGTTTAGATTTAATTTTTTTTACTACAATGTGGTAGTGTGCTTTACTTAGTGATTTTTTTTACTTAAATATTCTACCTTGACCAGCCACTATTTTGCACCATTATTCTGGGTACTATTAGATTTTCTTTGATTTAAACCCTTAAAAAACTTGAATCTGTTTAATTTTCAATTGTTCTGAAACAGGTTGCCCGTTGTTATTGTTTTGCGTTTATTTTATATTTGAAGTTCAATAAATATTAAGAGATTTATTGACGTATTTAACAGTGAGTTTTCAGTTGTCTCTCACCATCAATGTGCTGCTAAAACGGATATATACATATTGGCCTTAATAATTGACTTTAGATATTGGCCATCTGAAACAAAGTTCTCTTAAAAATTGGTATCAGCATCGGCTTTTTAAAACCCCCATACTGATCTGCCTCTAGTCTAAAGACAGATGAGGCACAGGCACTGAAAAAGGGTTGTAGTGAGGTTTTGGAAATTATTTGAATGTTTTCACTCTACAAACTTAAATTAATCATTTTGACTCAATGTAATGTACTACTTTGATCCATCTCAGGAACATTGCTAAGCTGAGTCCCATTCTGTCCTGAACTTGAGACTGTTCTCCACGCCTTCATCTCCCAACGCTTAGACTACTGTAACTCTCTTTTCACGTGTCTGAGCAAAACCTCCCTGAACCGTCTACAGGTGGTTCAGAATGCCTGTGCTCGGCTTCTGTAGCCTGGCCTGCCAGACTCGTCCTCTGTTTAATTCTGCACAGAGAGAGAGTCTGGTAGCTCACAGGCAGAGAGGCACATGAGGGGCGGGACTAGGCAGCTCAAAAATAACCAATCAGAAAAAAGACGGAAATGCCGACTGTACCACACAACGCTGTAGTTCTTTAGCTGTAGTAAAAAATGGCGTCTGGCAACGGTGCAAACATCTTTTTTTTTTTAAGAAGAAATACTTTTAGCACTTCTACTTGTGGTTTTAAAGACATTCAAGTCATTTAGAACAGAGGAAAGAGCCGCAGTGAACTCCGCCACTGTCTTCGTTGTTTATGAGAAACTGAGCATCACTGTGTGTGACATCTGCAGTGCTGTAGTTCTTTAGCTGTAGTCAAAAATGCCATCTGGCAACAGCGCAATCAACTTTCTTTAGAAGAAAGGCTTTTAGCGCTTCTACTTGTTGTTGTTTTAAAGACATGTCCAAGTCATTTAGAGCAAAGGAAAGAGCCGCAGCAAACTCCACTTCAGTCGCCATGTTTATGACAAACTGGGCGTTGTGGTGTGTGACGTACACTACTCATCACTGATTGGGTCAGTTAGAATTCTAAGGGGGTGGGGTTATTTGAATAGGAGAGTTCCCAGACCCTTTCTCTGTGCAGAATTAAACAGAGGAGGAGTCTGGCAGGCCAGGCTACATCTTCTGACCAAGTCCTCCAAACACACCCACATCACCCCGCTTCTCCTCCAGCTTCACTGGCTGTCAGTCAACTTCAGGGTTCATTTCAATATCCTGGTTCTGGTCTATAGGGCCTTACATGGACAAGCACCATCTTACATTGGTGATCTTCTTAGTCCCTACACCCCCAGCAGGTCCCCGAGGTCCAGTGTTCAAAGCCTACTGGTTGTGCAGCACCAGGCTAAAGACCAAAGGTGATAGATCATTTGCTGCTGTGGCCCCCAGACTCTGGACCTCTCTCCCCCTGAGGCTGAGATCAGTGGACTCAGTGGTCTCCTTTAAAAAGCAGCTGAAAACTCACTTGTTCAGGCTGGCTTTTGTGTGACCTTCATCACCAACCTCTTTATTCTGTTCTTATTCCACCTTTCCCGGGATCCACTGATTTCTCTCTCCCTTTTCTTAGATTTTTTTAATCACAATTATTCATTCTCATTTTAAACACATTTTTAATAGTTTTTAGAAATCTTTTTTATACTTTAATTTTTTTGTGAAGTGTCTCATGATTTTTATCTTGAGAGGTGCTATATAAAAGATCATTTTCTTTCTTTCTTTCTTTCTTTCTTTCTTTCTTTCTTTCTTTCTTTCTTTCTTTCTTTCTTTCTTTCTTTCTTTCTTTCTTTCTTTCTTTATATTTATTTATTTTCAATGTTATGCAATTAAACTGAGCTGCCAGATGCCAAATGTGTTGGTTTGACATTGTCAAAACTATGGGTTAATTGTACTTTTGGTGAAATTACGTGGAAATAGGTGCCATGATTAAATTGTGTTCATCCAACATCTGAGTTTTTTTTTGAGTAATTGCATGCCACCACACCTTTTCAGAGGAAAAGTGAACCAGTGAACGCATGTTAGAGCAAATCCGTTTTGTCTGAAAGTCAGAAGTTCCCCTTCTTGTGAGCGCATCTGTAGAACAATAGAAAAATTAATTTCTTATGCAAAATCATGGCGAAACATTGGTGCACAGTGAATATATGGATTTTGTGGCATTTTGTGATACTTTATGTTGCAGCATTTAACCTAGACTCTCAGAATGTGCTGCAGAGAAACGGAGCTCCAGGGACTCTTTTTGGATTTTCTGTTGCCTTCCACCAGCAGCTGAGCCCAACCAAAAGAAATCTGTAAGTCAAACAAAAGCGTTTTTTTTTTGGGGGGGGGGGGGGGGGGGGGGCTGAATATAATATTTACCTTAGTGCTTTTTGTTTTCTTAGCCTGCTAGTGGGAGCACCGCATGCAAAACCCCAGAACCAAGTGAACGTTACAGGTGCTGTTTACAGTTGTGATCTGTCTACATCCGAGCGCTGTCAGCCCATTGATTTTAACAGTAAAGGTTTGTTTAACATACTGGATTATTTTATTAATAGGTCTTTAAATATTTTAGGAGTTTATGTATCATTTACTTTGTTGAAAATGTAAACATAAAGTATAAAGAAACGTCTTTATATACTACAGATTTTCAGGTTTTTCGACTTTGAATACATTTTTAAATACAGAATAATATAGTGGTTTAGATTTTAAACACATTAACATGGGTTATGTAGTTAAAAAGTAAAGGTTGTATGTTCATTTTGGAGTAATGGATTAAAAAAGTCAAAAATGTTTTAAAGCATTGTCATATTTCAGTATTAGAACTCTAGTCAGGTGGTTTCTAACGAATGTACTTCATGCTGGCATGTAAACTATTGGCTTATTTTCAGAGTTCCTTGGTAATAAAGGTGTAAATAACCAATGGATGGGAGTTAGAGTCACAAGCCAAGGTCCAGGTAAAAATGTAATGGTAAGATTTCTGTATGGTTTCATTTAATTTTATTTATATCTAGTTTAGCTAATTAATCTTTTGAGTATTTTCTATTTCTTTTATGTTCTCTTTGTCTCTTTGTCTTCCATTCTGCTCAGTTAATGTTAGATTTAACTTTTTCTTTTAAGTTCATCGTTCAACTTATTTACGTTCCTCCAGAACAAGATCTGCCTTTGAGTTTCAGAAGACACACAACTTTGTGGATGCTAAAACCCTTCTTGCCCTCCCTGTTTCAGACCTGTGCTCACCGTTATCAGGAATGGAGCATGAGCTCAGGCTCTGATGTCCCTAACCTGCTGACTGGTCAGTGTTACATCCTGGGAAACGACCTACACGTCAGAGAAGCTGGAATGAGAGACCGGAGAGTACTTTGTGATGATGCACGCCTAAAAAGACGTTCAAAGAACCATGATTGGTTTGCATATTGCCAACAAGGTCATGGAGCATCTTTTGCAAAGGATAATGTTTCTTTGCTGTTTGGAGCCCCAGGAGCCTATCAGTGGAAAGGTACAAAAAATAAACACTGCTCTGTAAGGAAACTCCAGCAGCAACTTTAACCTTGAAATGAAGCTGTAAGCATGTGCTTATTAAAAGAACACTATGTAGAAACAAACTCTAATGCATGGACATTTAAAGGAACCTTTTAGATAACCAGATCATTTTAAAAGGGCATTTTAAATAAAGGAGTAACAGCTCATTTGTTATGATCCTATTGTAGATTTTTCGCTTTATATAATTTGAGATTAACACATTGAAACGTTACATCATTTAGCGTGTATCTTCTCAACCAACTGGTTTTATCTTGTTTTCATTTGCTTTAATACTTTTAAAGGAATCGTTCAAAAGGAATTCTTGAATGACCTGGGTTTAATCAGTGAAGAACCTCGTGAAACTGGAGATGCGAATCGTTTGTTGCATGAACTCATTCCTATCCAGAAAAACAGCTACCTGGGTCAGATTCTTTGGACGTTTGCATGAGAACCTTATCAACTATATTTAAAGATCAAATACAGATGATAACATCAAAATGTTTCTCTCTGCCTTCTTCTGATGCACCTCAGGGTTCTCCATCGATTCAGGAATGGCCCTCATGGAGCCGGGTGAGCTGATCATCGTATCAGGAGCACCCAGAGGAGGTTACAGCGGCCAGGTGGCGTTTATCAGATCAGATCCTGAAGCTAAGAGTAATTTAAAGGTGGAGATGGTTCTGTCTGGTCCAGGTCTGGCCTCATCCTTTGGCTATGATTTGACAGTGGTGGATCTCAATAGTGATGGGTAGGTTTGTACAAAATTGCACATTTAAATCTTTAACAGTTATTGAGTTATAACGGTAACTGCTTATGAGTAATAATTTGTTTTTTGGTATTAGAAAAAAAAATTTGTCTACTCTTTAAATTAGTGAAGTCAAGTCACTTTTATTTATAATGCACTTTTACTCATCCAACTGGGAGACTAAAGTGCTGGACACTACATGGAACAATCACATGCACACAGTAGTTCAAAAATTAAATAAAAACGCAATAAAATTAGACTTAAAGACCCATAAAAGCAAAAAGAGTCAGTAAGTGCAATTTTCATATCAACCAAAAGATAAAGAGAAATCAAACGTGACTTGAACTTTGTAAAAAGTAAAGCCTGCAAGGCATTCCACAGAGTTGGAGCCAAAATAAATAAAAAACTATAAAGCAAGATAGAACAAGTCTGAGAAAACAGTCAGGGAGTTCTGTACAGATGTGTTCATTGTTGCTACAAGGAGGACAACATCGGCTAACATTTCCCAGAAACCATTTATTTTAATCTAAATTAATTAAATACCGTAAATCCTCTAATACAGGCCCGGGCCTGTATTTGACTCAAGCTCACCAAGCTCCAGGCCTTTATTGGAAGGAGGACCAGAATTAGAGGCAGGCCTCTATTTCTTTTTGAGCAAAATGAACTAATGGTTCGCTGGAGTTTTTGACAATTAAAATTGCACCCACATTTTCAAAGTTAAACACATTTCTTTTAACAACGGTAGTTTCTGCTTCAGCCCCCCCCCCCCCCCCCTCCCCCTGCGCAGCGGCCGCAAACTCACTGATGCGCCTGCAGCCTCTTGGAGTTCCTGCTGCTCTAAACATTAAAATAATTATTTAATTTTCTGTTCCTCACTTCTGATTACCTTCAATGGTGTGTGTTTGTTGCAACCACCAGGTACAAAAACTAACTTGTTTTTATTTGACTATTTTTCTGTCCTGCCTGTTTATTATCTTCCTGCATCTCCTCTTAATCCTAAAGAGAAACTGCTACCTGGGTTCATTTATATTCACCTCATGAGTTACCTTTGAACTGCAGTTCTAAAAGATCTACCGACCGCAAAAACAGCGGAGTGCTCGCCAGCCACATCAGTTAGGTGCGTCACCGAGGACAAAACAGGTGATGCGCCCCGATCCACAGCAGCGAAACGCATCAGGCACAAATAAAAGAATAAAAAACAGAAAACATAAAAGGAAATGAGCCGACATGAACGATCGCGTGTTAAATTAGATTTTGAGGTGGCGACACCTGATTTGATAATGTTACTGTGGCCGTGCTCAGGACGCAGATGTCTGGAGCGCGTCAACAATCAGAGCTTTGCATGCCAAGCTGGTTAAGGTTAGGATGGGGGTGAGGGGAAGGTTAAATTGCAAGAGGGTAAACGTCACAATTTGGTTGAATGTCCATTTTACGGCGGATGTCAGTACCGACGCTCTGGCACAGCGCGTTGCCTCCCGACGCGCAGGAGCTTGTCACCTGCTGACAGCAGGCTGCTGTCTTTTCCGAGGACCGCATTTTGCCGGTCATTATCACGTGACAGCGACTAGTTGATGACAGGCATAAAAAGTCACTATAGAGCGATGAAGTCGACTAGTGACTAGTTCATACAACCCCTGCTACTGCTCCCCAGAGTGTTCTGCAGCATAATCAGCACGTTCTCTTTGAACTTGATATTAAATTTTCGCCTCCTCTTCGTCTCTGCACGGTTAAAGTTACCCTCGCGGTCTATCACTGGCAAATCAAAAGTGAGACGGATGACACAACCGCCCCCCGTACTTGCTTGTTACCACATTCCACCCGGCCACAATAAAAAACCGGCCATTATTCACCTCCGCCGGCTCCGACCAAAATATGATACCCGGCAGTTAATTAAATACAGGCTAATATTAGAGGATTTAGGTACTAATAAAAATGGTCAGCATTTGCCATGCAAAAAACCTGCAGTCATATTGCAAATAAAATTACTGAGCAAGTCTGTTTGAGTGATACATTTTCAGCTTTAGGTTAATTATGTATTCCCAGAAACCTGAAAAGGGAAACAAACTGTGAGCTGTGTAGAAAAGTGTCTTTCGGGCAATACCACCCTGCAAATTTTACTGTGCAGTTGTGGATGTCCATCATGCATCAATAATGAGTTTTGTTTAATTTTTTTTTTTTACCTTATTGGGAGCCGGATTATTTTTCCTTTGGAGATCACTTCTGCAATGTCAAATTCAAATGTGGTAATGAGGTTGGTGCTGTGCAGTGAGACAGTCATGTGTATAGAAACAGAATAAACCGGATGTCCTATGTCTTATATATTCTGGAAGTTGTGCAAATGCAGGGATGGGAGTAAAAATTCTGCTGGGGTGGGGCTGGGTTGGTGCCCTCTGACTCCGTAAGGCTCTGAGATGCTGCTGCTTTGGGCCCTGGCAAGATGGGTTGGGGTCTCCATGCCCTGGGTGGCATTTTGGCAACAGAGGTGCCTATTGGGGCCAGTTGGGGAGCTGGCTCCCTGGAGGGCTTAGGTCAACCAGCCATTCCTCCCCATCCATCCCCACACATTTTTCTCCTCCTGCTCCCTCACATCATCACACAAACATGCACATAGGACCTTGGGGGGTGGACAAGTCAGGGGGTGTGGGTATGGATCCCATTTTCGCATTCCTGTGGCAACCTGCCCCCCAATTTTATTTGCACATTAAACACTTCCACCAACGACATTCCACGCAAACACACACTTAGGGCCTTGGGAGTGAACATTTGGCAGGGGGATTTTTCAGCCTCATCCCGAGTGCTGGTGCCCACTTCCAATTTTAAACTGCACTAGATACAGAGGGCTGTGGGTCCAAGTGGGGTGGTGTGGTGGCATCAGCTGGCGTAGGCACAGCCATGGAATACACCTCATCAACACGCACTAACACTATATTGGAGCACGCGGAGGGAGACTAGGGGCCTTAGCACACCTCTGTTGTCGCTTGGCTTCCCGGGGCTGGAGGCTAGGAGGGGGATCCCACCCACCCCCACCCCACCCCCACCCACCACCCCACCACCCCCTGTTGTCTCTTCCTTTTTCTTTTACCTCTGTCTCCGTGTCTGGTTGAAATTATAAAGCATCAAAAAACAATAACAAAACAGTTTTAAGTATCAGGAGTGACATTAAAAGCAGAAGCTTTGATGCTCCACCTGAGAGTAAACCTGTAAGGCTTGTCACCAGCATTCAGACATTAATCCTGTTTGCTTCACAGCCAGACAGGACACGGGGGGAAAAAAAGAAACAGAATAAACTCACGTCTCTGTGGCGCCCCAGTGATAAGTGTAAAAGCAGTGATTGTTCTTTTTTAATGCAATGTATTTGCATGTCTCTTTACTGTATGTGTGCAAATATAAATTGAGATATGCAAAGGATTTCAATTTTAATTCATTTATGTCACTACTGCAAATTCTTGTCTCACCATTTGTTGTTTTTATTTTGTTCACGCAGGTGGGAGGACCTCGCTGTAGGGGCACCCCAGTATTTTGTCAAAGACGGCGAGATCGGGGGAGCGGTTTTCATCTACATCAACAACAAGGGAAAAGACTGGGAGAAAACAGATCCCATTGAGCTTCATGGACACAAAGACTCCATGTTTGGCATTGCAGTGGAAAATGCAGGAGACATCAATCAAGATGGCTATGGAGGTTCTAATATGCAAATATCTTGCAACACACAATTAAAGTATACACCCCTTCATGCAGCACATGACTCAACATGCATCAAAGTTAGTGTTGAAGCAGGTTAGATCTGTGGCTTTAGATTCTTAAGATGATGTCATGAGTGGAGAGAGAATCATCTAAAGGTTGACACAGACTTTAACAACACTGTAAACCACATATTCTCTTCTCTGACTTTATCTTCTGTCATTGTTTTCTTAATTTGTTTATTTAAAAGGATCCCCAGTAGCTGACAAATACTTGACAGCTAGTCTTCCTGGGGTCAAAACGATACATTCAAAACACTTACATTACTCTTACTATATCACACAATCACTATTAAAAACAGAACAATAAAAGAGAATCATATAGACATAAAGCAAAACAAAGAGCAAATAAAACCTTATGCTTATATCAAATCACAACCCCTTGATTAACGGATACAGATGTTACGATTTTGCATACAGGTACGATTGTAGTTTATTTTTTAAACTGTATTTATCCTTATTGTCACTAACCTCAAGTGGAAGATTATTCCACAATGAAATTGATCTAAACTTTGAACACTTGATTAAAACATTTCTCTTCACAGAATTGGTCTCAGGTTACGGTTAAAGTAATCTGTCAGTTCTTTGCCCCTCTAGTAAACTGTGATTACACATTTGAGTGAAAAATTATGTTGTTATTATAAAGACTTTTCGGAGTTTGGGTATCAATAATTCTTTTAAAAAACAAAAGTGTATCAGCTGAAAGTCCTTGCCTGACCATCATCCAGGAAACACGATCTTGCATATCTATTGTATTTGTTCTTGGAGGACAACCAAGAACCACTCTCGCTGCCTTGTTTTGAGCTACCTGTAGCTTATATAAAATACAATTGGACACAGCTGACCATATAGCTGAAAAGTAATCCAAGTGATGTAAAACCAATGTACGAACAACAAGACTAAGCAGCGGTGAATTGAGAAATGGTGTACATTTGTGTATTACGGAAACAACTCTGCCCGTCTTAGCACTGACATTGTTGATGTGGTCAGACCACAACACTGAGCAATCATCAATCCAGAGTCCAAGTAACTTCATCTTTTTAACTTGCTGTAAACTCTGGCCATTCACCTGTAAATTTAATGTGGGATTTAGTTAATAATCTATACCTCAAACTAAATATTATGTTCACTGTTTTTGAAACATTTAAACCTAGTTTATTTCCTGCTATCCAACTATATACCCTGTCGATTTCAGTGGACAGAACTTCATGGAGCTCAAAGCATGTGGGAGCAGCATAATAGACAGTTGAGTCATCAGCAAACATCATCAGTTTAGCCTTACTAAGTACATACGGCATATTATTTGTAAAAATAGAGAATAACAGAGGCCCTAGACAGCTTCCTTGGGGGACACCACATTGCAGGGTCTTTCTGTTGGATAATGCACCATTAAAGTAAACTCTTTGAAATCTCTCTGACAAATAGCTTTTAAACACTTGACAGTAGAGGAGGTAAAACCAAAACTGATTAGTTTGGAGATCAAAATTTTATGGTTGATTATATCAAAGGTAGAACTAAAGCCAAGTAGCCTTGAACATACTAGCATGGAGTCATCACCACCTTAATCTCCTCACGCTTAGACTACTGCAACTCTCTTTTCACGTGTCTGAGCAAAACCTCCCTGAACCATCTGCAGGTGGTTCAGAATGCCTGTGCTCGACTTCTGACCAAGTCCTCCAAACACACCCACATCACCCCGCTTCTCCTCCAGCTTCATTGGTTGTCAGTCAACTTCAGGGTTCATTTCAAGATCCTGGTTCTGGTCTTTAGGGCCTTACATGGACAAGCACCATCATACATTGGTGATCTTCTTTGTCCCTACACCCCCAGCAGGTCCCTGAGGTCCAGTGATCAAAGCCTACTGGTTGTGCAGCGCACCAGGCTAAAGACTTAAGGTGACAGATAATTTGCTGCAGTGGCCCCCAGACTCTGGAACTCTCTCCCCCTGAGCCTGAGATCAGTGGACTCAGTGGTCTCCTTTAAAAAGCAGCTGAAAACTCACTTGTTCAGGCTGGCTTTTATGTGACCTTCATCACTCTCTCTTTGTTCTGCTCTCCCCACCTATTCCACCTTCCCCAGGATTCACTGATTTCCCTCTTTCCTATTCACTCTCTCTCTCTTTCTTGACATTTTTAATCATAATTGTCTATTTCTTGCTCATTTTAGATTTTTAAATCATTTTCTAAATTATTTTTATATTTTTACGTTTTTGTTTTTGTGAAGCACCTCGTGATTTTTATCTTGAGAGGCGCTATAGAAATGATCTTTTCTTCTTCTTTTTCTTCTTCTTCTTCAACTGATGTTAACCAGCTATCCACCATTTGAGTCTGTGCAGTGCAGGTGGATTTAACAGACCTATACATGCTGAGACATGGTAATCAAATTGTTTCTGGTTAAGTAAGTAAGTAGTAAGTAAATTTTATTTATATAGCACTTATCACAGACATAGAATCACAAAGTACTTCACATAGATCAAAACAAAATAAAACAAAGTCATAAAATCAGAATTATCTCAAAACAGAAATAGATTAACATCAGAAAAAATAAAGTCATGAAATTATTAAATTTTATAAACAGACAAAATATTACAAATTTGTGTTAAAAATAGCAAAATAAAAGATTTAGTTAGAAGCAGCTTTAAATAAAAGGGTCTTTAGCTGTTTTTTAAAAGTGTCCAGACTGTCAATGCTACGTAAGGATGAAGGGAGATCATTCCAAAGTCAGGGTGCAACAGTCTGCACTCTATCCTGGCACTAGATGGTCTATAGCAACTACCGAGAATAATTGGTTTCAGATGTGGAAGTTGTACCTGTAACCAAAACACTTCCATATCATCAACCATTAGGTCACTTCTTAATCTCACTGGAAAATGGTCACGTATATATGGCCACACCCCCTCCTAATCTATTTCAATCTTGTCTATAAATTGAGAACCCCTCTATATCAATGTCTGAATTGCCTACTGAGCTGTCCAAATGGGTTTCGAAAATCGTTAATATGTCTATTTTATTTAATTGCAAAAATAGGGAAAGATCCTGAATTTTGTACAATAAACTATGTACATTAATATGTGCCAGGATTAAGCATTTAGGTTGCTTACTTATGCTAGTATTCATAGTTAGTAATAAAATAAGTCTTGCATTTTGCTAATGGTATTCTGTACTATCGACTGAAGTATCATGAACCTTGTTTTCTATCATCCTCGGTCCGCAGCTAAGTGTGACGTTTTGGACTTGTTTTGGACGCTCCCCAGAAGTGAAGGCACGCTATCATTACGTCTTGAGTCTATTTTTGACACAATACACTTCCAAAATTCGTCAAACTCAGCAGTTTAGATAGAGCCAGACAGGAAATCAAACAAAAGCAGTGTAGAACATCCAGAAACTTTCATGATAAAGGTCACGCGCAGTAAGTAATTTCCTGTGAACTTTTGTAACCAATGTAAACAGAACAGAAAATAACCCACAGGAATGTTTTATGCATACAGCTGTTTTTCATCTTGTTTATCACTGTGTATGGATGTGTGAAATCAAGAGAGGTGTTCCAATTCTCTCGTGATTTTGTGACGTGATGGGATCAGCTGTGTGGAACGCTTTCCTTCTCGTTTCACATCAGAATTGCTCCCAGTTGGGAATGAACTTGCGGGTGGAATGCCGCTATCACGTTACGTGACTGCTTTCATGGCTAGTGTAAAGCCGGGGTCAGACTTGACCTGAGTGTCTGCAAAGGCAGAAAGATGTCACGCCGAAGTTGCACACAAGCGCAGTGGGCATTATTATACTCCAACAATCCGAATGGATGTGTACATGGACGTCAATCGGAAGGATGATCGGACAGAACCACTTCTCTCAATCGAAATGGAATGTCATTCCGATTGACATGTTTACATGAAGAATTTTTGATCGGGTAGGGCCAAGGCCGGATTAACCATATGGGCAACTGAGCAATTGCCCAGGGGTCCACAAACTCTAAAGGGCCCAGGCCCAGGGCAGCAAGGGCACGAGCAAAATACTGTATCTGTAATCTCCCACTTTATATTAAACTAGGGTGACCGTACGTCCTCTTTTCCCCGGACATGTCCACTTTTCACTCTCTGTCCGGGGCGTCCGGACGGGGGGTTCTTGTATTGATGAAAATGTCCGGTTTTTCATCCAGGAGCAGGGATCGAATTATAAAAGTGGGATAAAAGTGTTCTACCTATATTACATCATTTATGTACTTTTTTGCGCAGAGAGCACAGAGAGCGGCATAGCGCTGATCATTGTTGCGCAGCGCTCCAGGCTGATGCTTCCAGCGCACGGTCCATTCTCAAAGTGGTGCAACCAAAAAACTATAATTAACACACGATCGTTCATGTCTGCACATGTTCTCTACTTTCTGTCTTATTTGTGCCTGAAGCGCTCTGCTACTGCGGAGCTCATCACCTGTGCTGCGGTGATTTCACCTCACTGACGCAGCATCGAAATGCGCTCTCCGCTTTGTGGTCAGGAGATACCTTTGATCTGCTCAAAAGTAACTGATGAGGTGAAAAAGTAAGAATCCAGGCAGCAGTTGTTCTGGAGAGTTTAGAGGAGATGCAGGAAGATGAGAGACAGACAGGACAGGAAAATAGTTCAGTAAAAACAAGATAACATAACAAAGTGTTGAAAAGTAAAATGTAGGTAGATTTATCTCCACTACACGTTTTTACCTGTATAAAACAATAAGTTATACACATGTAATAATTATACATCTGATACAATTCAGATCACCTTCAGAACTCAGTCACACACCCAGGGCAGTTTCAAGGCATTTTGGGGGCCAAGGCAAAACAGAAGACCCCCCACTCCCCTATAACTGGGCTCCCCAGAAGCCTCTGTGTAATCCATACCCTGTCTAGGAGTATTAGTTTCACAATGTTTGTAAAAAAAAAAAACCTCAGATATGACTGACATGTTCTAATATTATCAGATGAAAAACTACATTATCAGACATGCTGTCTCATCTGCTGCTTTTCTAAATTTGCAAAAAGTAACGAAACCATTTGAAAGCCACTATTTGTGGATTCTCTGAAAGTTTCCATGGAGTGTGTGACAACTTATTTTTTCATTGGTCCTATCGTCTAATTTCACAAAATAATAAAAATAATTTATTATTAATAAAACCTTGTTGCAGCACTAAAGCAGAAAAATGAGATTTTGCGATAAATATGCAAAATAATTACATATGAATTGTTTTAGAGCCCTTTTATTGGCATAATCTGATATTAATTTTAGTTCTTACAAAAAAATGGGTCCCAAAGTGGTTTGTGTGGCGTTGCCATAGTGTGACGTCATAGGCACAGATCCTGTCCTCTTTTTTGGAAATGGAAATATGGTCACCCTATACAGAGTTTCCCCCAGAAAATGAGTTAAGCCTGGCGGCGTCGGCCGTCGGGGAGGGGGGGGGGGGATCGCGCACTCCATCCCGCAGTGCTCCTCTGTGAGAGCGGGGGTGAGGGGGTTGCACACGTTTCGCTGCTGTTTCTCACCAGTATCAGCTGATGGAGGGCCCTAGTTTCGCTGCGCTGTTCGTGTCAGCGGACACGGTAGGGTCGGGAGGGGGCGGGCATGACGCTTAGCCTGGCGGGTGGGCAAGCAAAGCCTAGCGGCCCGCCAGGCTTATAAAGCGCTGGGGGAAACCCTGCTATATTAAACAAACTGTCCACCCGGGTTTTTGCACTGCACAGAGACGCTTCGCTGCCTATGACTTTGAACGTCAGTTGAGAGTCAGTCTCATGCAGACAGACCAATGAAGAGAGGGCCTCAAGTTAAGACCCTCTCCTCATTGGTCAGTCCACACAAGGTGGGTCAAAGGTTACCCTGAGCGGGTCACGTGATGTCAGGCATTCAAGTATTGAGTATATTTACTGCATATTACAGTAAAATATTCTGTATGTGACCATATTATGTTGATCTTTGGGTCGTGATGATGGGGCCCTTTAATATTGTTGCCCAGGGTACAACAAAGTCTTAGTCTGGCCCTGGGTAGGGCGTTCATTCCGATTACTTTCACCCATGTAAACGTAGCTAGTGTGAAGTCACAGCGTGAATGAAGTGTGTTTAATTATTATTTGATCTCCTTTGACAGATGTCGCTGTGGGGGCGCCTTATGACGGCTCGGGTCGAGTTTATTTGTACTGTGGGACATCAGACGGTATCAACAGAGAAGCAGCTCAGGTAAAGTCTTTTTCTTTTTGTCTCAAGTGGAAAAAAAAAACATAAATAATGTTCTCACATTTTTCATTCATCAGGTCCTCTCACCTCAGCGGAACATGGTGAAACAGTTTGGTTATTCTCTGAGCGGGAACCTGGACGTGGACAACAATCAGTACCCGGATTTAGCCGTGGGATCACTTTCAGACTCAGTTTTTGTTTTCAGGTAATTTGTAGGTTTAATAAAACAGAGTGCATTCCAACAGTTTCACATATCAGCTTGCATTACTTGATAAAAACTCATTCAACATAGCTGATAAAACTAATTTAAACCCCTATCAAAATACAGGACTGTCACACTGAATATTTATACTATTTAATTGTTACTGTATATTTAAAGTAACTCAATAATTAAAATAAAGTGAGATTAATATTGGATTTAATTGAAACCTCTAATTTGTTTTTTTTAGAAATTGTTCTTAAATCTAAACCTAAACAAAAAAAAGTGTTTTTTATCAATGTTTTTCTTTTAAATACTCATTTTAAGATTAGCTGTTAAACACTTAATTTGATTTGACTAGTTGAACATCTCATTAAAATTAAATCTCTTTTTCAAGAGAGACTTGGCCATGAAAGCACAAGATGACTCCACAAGAGTTTAACTATGTTTCTCTGTCACAGATCAAAGCCGGTGGTCAACATCAACACCTCTCTCAGGATAACACCAAATAATGTGGATATCAAGAAGAAACAATGTGATACACAGAAATGGTGAGAAAAGCTAAACCATTAGGTATCCTGTTTTAACATGAATTTCTTTTTACAGTATTTATCTTTCCAAATATTTAAAGTTATTTTGCAGGTCAGGCATGTTTCACTTACACGGCACATCCGTCATCTTTTAACCCCAAACTGGGTGAGTTTGTTTACAGTTTATTTAACTAAAGGTGATTTTCTTACTCATTTAAACCTGCTAAGTGTTTCATGTCTAAAACATCTGTAATAAAATCCTCATAATGATTCGTAATAGAATTGACTAAGAAGCAATCAGGCTATCTGTGTAACATTAAAAAGACAGTTTGACTATTCTGGAGTGTGTTCCTTTGTAAAAGTTATAATTAATTGCCTTCTTAGCTGTTGGAGACGGCTGCTTGAATGAATGCAACTAGAATTACTTTCCAACAGGACTGATAAGCAGAAACAGGACATGTCTGACTGAACCTACGTCCAAATGTTGATGCCACCCAGAAATAGTGCTATCAGCGTTTTATTAACTGTGGTTCAATGAACAGTGACTTTGTGCATCTGCTTCACAGAACTCAGCTATGCTTTTGAGGCTGATTATGACAAGAAAAGCTCACGGCCCCGAGTCACCTTTTCAGGTTCTTCTCAAGGAAAACTAGAGCTTCCTGAACAAGGGAAACAAGTCTGTACCGACAGAACACTTCAACTTGAGGTGCCATTTCAGTATTATAGAAAACTCACTGTTACTTAAAGGAAAATATTATTTTACAGTTGGAAACTGTGGTTTTAGCTTTTGTTTATAGAACTTTGTTGGGGCTCACAATGGCCCAGGAGCCCTGATCACTTGGTAAGTTATGGATCTATCGGGCATTCATTCCAAGTCTGGATAATCATAGTACATCTGACATTTTTCTTTGTTGTCCTCTTGTCCAACATGGACATTAGCAGTTGCTCAGGCTAGCATTAGCATTGGCTCAGGCTAACATTGTTCTGCAGAAGAGTTTCTGTATTGGGATATGCTAATTTAAGGTGGTATTTCTAAGCGTATGACATTAAACCATCTTTCTCAGAACAAATCATGACTCAGCAGCCGTTACAACATAGCTAAATTACATAGGAAATTGGGTCAGAAACAGCACATGTTTTCTGATAAGCTGTATTAGACACCCCAAGCTGTCTGTATTCAACAACATGGGTCAGAAATATAAAAAGCTCTATAGAAATTTTAAAATCCAAAACCATTTTCCAGTTACTGTATATTTTGGGAAATGCAAATAAACCTTCAATAAGTGATTTCCAACAATGACTTATTTCGGCTCAGTGACCAACATTAAGAATAACCCTGCTCTAATTACTCATCGGAGACTGATGTAACATACCAAAAGGGTAAATTTTCACCTATATATTGACCAACACAGTAACCTTTCATCCATAGAACTAAATACACTTTCTATTTGGGCTTCCAAATCCAGAAGGTTCTGCTCAGTGCTTGTTAACATACCATGAAGAAAAGCATTCAAACAGACACTCGGACCCAAGGTCTGCACTCTGCGTAAAAGCCAGACTGCTGAATTCTTTGCTATCTACTTGAAGCTTCTACAGGATTTTACAGTTATAAGTTAAATAATCATATGTGATGAATGAACAAGATGTTTAACCCTCCCACTGTCCTAATGGGTGTGACCCCGCGAGGAAAGTTGACCATTGAGCAGGGTTGATGGTTTATCCCTTGAGGTCCACGTGGCAGGGGTGAGGTGGTGCTCACTCCTCACCCCTGCCACGTGCACCCAAGGGATAAACCATCAACCCTGCTCAATGGTCAACTTTCCTCGCGAGGTCACACCCATTCGGACAGTGGGAAGGTTAAATCAAATGTTTGAATAATCTGTGCTTAAATCAATGAATTTGAAATGAATATTGTTCTTATAATGATCCATTTATATCAAAGATCGGTATGTGTTTGATTTAACAATTTAATCATTGTTTATACTCCTACACATTACAATAAGATACTCATTAAGGTTAATATGCACCTCACAAGAGTTTTAAGGATTCTTATTCACAGTGTTTGGAAATCTTTGTATCTGAGGAGGGCGTGGCTTTCTGAGGGATGTTGGTAAATACTCAGAAACGTGTCAAATTCTGATTGGCCAAACTTGGCCAGAAATCATAACAAAGTAGTTTAATAAAACAAGAATTAATTCCCGATTAATTCAGTTTCCAGCTGACGCCCGATTTGGCCAGATCGGGAGAGAAGCATTTCTTTTCAAACCGTCTTCTTTGACCTTAAGTCAAAAACCTTTCTGTGACGCTACAAGTGATTACAGACACAACAGCTCTTTTCAGAGCTACTTCAACTCTCAGACATCCATCTTGGACACCTAACCTGCAGACCCCGTATTGCATCTCATGGCCAGGGAAGCTGAACTCAGAGGAAGCTACTAATCTCTGAGAATTGTGGTTTTGACGTCCGGCGACCTCACCGCTCGACCGCACCCCTCCGGACCGCCGGGGGCAACTCATACCAGGGTATTGTAAGCCTGCATACTGGTGTCTGATGAGGATTTTAATCAAAACAACACTCAAGTTATAAACAACAACAAATTCCTTTACAGCCCACACTTCACATTTTCTCTCAGATACAAAGCTTCCTACATTTCACACATCACATTAAATCACTCCAGATCCATTACACCACATCTCATTATTCATATCTTGTTATGTATAAATTGTTAGTTTAGGAAAAAGAATTAAATTCATTTTATAAACTATATACCTGACTCTGTCTGAATTAATACGAAGTGTGTTTATTGTCCTTGAAGAAGCAAAGAGCCCTAGAATTTTCTGATAAAACTTTCAAAGATCAATCAGGTTGATATTTCATATTTGTATGGAATATCACATCTTATTGGTCATAATTAACAAATCTTTTCCACTACACTGAAGACTAAAAACTAATGTTATATATTTGTTTGTTTCCAGACAGACATTAAAGACAAACTACAGAGCATCCCCGTCTCTGTCCTTGTGTCTCAGTTGACTTCTAGTGAGACAGCTGGAGCGAGTTCTGATCAGTCTCCTGTTCTCAGCATTTATCACCAAAACCCCACTGTGTCAAAGGTAAGCACAGATCCAGTGAGGCCCTTTATAACCCCTAATCAAATTAGTTTAATTCTTCTTAAAGAAAAACCAAAACAGTTTAATGTGTGGAACAACAGGACCATGAGGGATCACATGATTATGTTGAAAAAACTCCTAAATTAAAGTGGAAACACTTGGGGAACACGTGTTTTACATGTTAATGTAATATTTTCTCATGTGGTTTTTCACATGTAAAGTTAATGTGATTTTAGTTTGTTTTTCATCCAGAAAGTTTGCGAAGCCTGTTTTTTTATGTTGCATGTTAATTTCCCTGTAGCCATGTATTTTCTCTGCAAGAGCAAAACATGCAGTGAACAAAAATGTGTCGGAAAAATGATTAAACTCATTTGTATAAAAGAAATGTAATGAAAATACGTTAAGCTAGATGACATTTTTTACATTTCCGAGACTGTAGTGAAGTAAAAAGTTTTTTTTATTATAATTTATTTTTTCCAGATTACTCTGAGAAACCAGGGTTGTGGCAGTGACAACATCTGCCAGAGTAACCTACAGTTACAATCCCAGTTCTGTTCCAGAACGAAGCAAAACGGTAAAGATGTTTTCACGTCACTGGTCAGGTAAGTAGAAATGTCCAAATGGAAAACCTGGCAAAGTGAATTACATAATTCAACCCACTCTATCCAACCTGTACACATATCTGCTGATCTGTAGAGACAATGGCGTAGCTGTCATCACTCCGTCTGATGATGACGTAGCCTTGGAGATCACTGTGACAAACAGAAACGGTGACGATGCACATCAGAGTTCCTCAGTCATTATGCTTCCAGAAACACTGCACTACTCATCTGTGTACTCTAGTGGAGACCAGGTGAGTACAAGAAAACATGCGATGTGGTACATTTTGTGTCAAATACATAAACTACAGGAGAAACTTCAAAAATGAGAAAAGATCAAGCTAAAGTTCCTTTATTACAGTAAAAGCAAAAGGGGTCCAAAGCAAGTACTGAGTACATAAGCATAATTATACATTTTCAGATGTGTGACATGCCCTTGTTTTTTTATTTTGTATAATACTCAGATTTATTTAATCATTTAATTATAAATGTCAATTTTTGTGCTCAAATCCTCAGGCAGCACAAGTGAGCTGCACAGCCAACGACAAGGGGACACTGATCAGATGTGAGCTGGGAAACCCACTTCAAAGAGATGCTGAGGTGCGAAATAATCATTTCCCTTCATCAGGATACCAACCTTTTTATTGAATGTTTATTCTACATTTTATCTCTAAATCCAGGTTACTTTTTACATCATACTCACAACTTCTGGAATCTCACTGAGTACAAAAGCTGTAAACATCACCATGAAGCTTGAAACGTACGTAGATGAATCAGAATGGAAACTGGACGGTAAATGATTCTGAATCAACATGTTCTTCTGTTCCTGTGATGCAGAACAAGCGTGCAGACCATACAGCCAGTTGAACTGTTCGCCAAAGTGGTTTTTGAGCTGGAGTTGCAAATCCAAGGGTGAATCCTGCATACTTCCACATTCTTGTCATATCTTAATCCTTACTAAAACAGAACTTGTTTGTTTCTTCACCAGGCTCCTCAAGCCTTCTCAAGTCTCACTTGGAGATGTTTTGAAGGGTGAAAGTGCTGTTAACTTGGTGGATGAAATAGGACCAGCAATTCTATATGAATTTAAGGTATGAAAACATTTGTTTCTGTCTTTGCTGGGATATATTTTATTCATGTAGAAAGGAATTTTGTTTTTTGGTTGGGCGACGGCAGCACAGGAGTTAAGAGCTCGCCCTGTAATCTTTGTGGAAATTACGCTGAGCCCTGCTCAGTCTGTCGCTATCGTTGTGTCCTTGGGCAAGACACTTAACCCACCTTGCCTGCTGGTGGTGGTCAGAGGGACCGATGGCGCCTGTGTTTGGCAGTATGTGCGCCCCAGGGCAGCTGTGGCTACAATGTAGCTCATCTCCACTAGGGTGTGAATGTGTGTGTGAATGGGTGAATGACTGATTGTGTTGTAAAGCGCCTTGGGGGGTTCTAGGACTCTAGAAGACGCTATATCAAATACAGGCTATTTACCATTTCAACAGATAACAAACTTGGGCAAACCCCTGAAGTCCTTTGCAAATGTGTCACTAAACATCCACTGGCCAAAGGAGAACTCTGAGGGGAAATGGCTGCTGTACCTGACTCATGTAAGCAGTGAAGGTGTTAAGGCTGTCCCGTGTTCACCTGCAAATGAGGTCAATCCACTCAGACGTGTAAAGGTACATGAAAAAGTTAAAAGTTTATACTTTCAAATTTAAGTGACATTATAATAAACTTCAGATTGGATTGATTTAAGGGTTGGCAGGCTCCTTCAAGGCAAAGACGTGAAGCTAAGCTCGATGCTCTCTCTTTTGTCCCAACAAAAAGAGAATACAAAACTTTGGTAAGAAACCAAATATTATTGATAATCTGGGCATTTTTATTTAGAAGGTTGAAAAACGTAATTTTGCTTGGCCTTCTGTTATTAAAATGCCATTTGATGATGAGACGTTTCACCTGAGTCTCAGGCCTGTTTACTGTTTCAGACATGCTGGGATGGCCTGAGGTGTGTGGAGATGCACTGCCCTCTGCTGGACTTGGACAGTACTGCAAAGATTCTTCTGAATGCACGCCTTTGGAACACAACTTTAGCAGAGGTACTTTAATCACTGAGATCCGAGTGAACCCCCTACAGGTATTGTGCATAACCTCCATCTTCATTCAGGACTACAGCTTGTTGGATTACCTTAACATTGTTTTGGAGGCTTCTTTAAATCTGACCAGTTCTTCTGAGAATATTGGACTCAAACCAGAAAAGACCGTGACTCAGGCAGGTTTCCTTTTCTCTCTTTGAATTCTGCAAACAATTTATTAGGAAACAGTCATTTAACATAATGACAAAAACTGAATTTAACTAATGTTTCTTAACCTGTTGATGTAAAACTATTTTGATTTTGATTTCATTGTCTTTTATCTTACTGTCCACAGTTAAAGTTGACAGTGTTTCTCGAGACAAAAGTCGAAATCCAGACCAAAGCTGCGTGGTGGATAATCTTCCTGACAGTCGTTGCCTTGCTGCTGCTGCTGGCGTTGCTCTGCTACTTTTTGTGGAAGGTAACAACTAATAGAATATAATAAATAATGCAATTTTAAATGGGGTTTTGAGCAGTATGAAACATCAAGTTACATCTAACATATGTTTAGTAACCTGTTTCCTCTTGTCTCAGTAAGTGTTTTAGACTTCTTCTTTTTTCTTTTCAGGGGGACTGCATCCACAACCTTGCTAATAAAAAGTTTTCCAGTTCATAGTCAGCTCCTCTCAAAGGCTAAAAGGCATCAGGATGGATTTCCATGTGTTCATCTGAACCGTTTCATCCTCACTAGTGTGGAGAGGAGCTGGTGCCTATCTCCACGGTTACAGCAATAGGATGTATTTCACTACATAGTTACTATTTACTCAGCCGAGTGAATGAATTGGCCTTTTGTCTTTTCTCAATGACCAAAACTCTAATAAATTGCAGGTAAAAGACAACTTTTAAGTAGTAAACATGTTTTACATCCACTTGAATATTTTCTTGTCCATTGCAAACATCAATTAGGCCTACCTGTTGAAATGGAGGGAAAGTGTTTAAACGAAAACCAGTTACATTACCTTAAACTCAGTGAAATGCAAAAAGTACACAGAAGGAAACAAACTAAAGAAGAAAGAATGTGCAAAAAGTTTTGTAAGTGAAGCCACACCACACTTTAGGTCTTTCTGTGGCACATTGTTTCTTATCAAACATCTTGGCATCAAACACAACTGAAGTGTCATGGGAGCCAGCGGTAATCTTGTTTGGTTCAGGATCACACAAACATGCATTCGAACGGCTGACTGAGCCTCTTCAGTTTTGCTGTCGAACAAAACAAACTCCTGTAGAGCTCTTTGTCTCCACCCTGGACAAAAATGAGACATTTGGACAAATTAAGGTATGCAGGACATTATTAGTAATAGTAGCAGTGGTGTGTTTTAGTGAATTTGACAAAGTGAGGTTTGCTTTGCTTTGTATAATGAGCTCAGGCTTAAAAACACAACATAAATGATCCTTTTACTATCAGAACCAGGACTGGAACACAGAGGCTGCCAGAGTTAACAGTCGTTGCACCCCCTGTGTGACAATGGGACAATGATTTTGAAAACTAAAGGTCAGAATTTTCTTTTTTATTAGTTTGATTTGCTGGCATCGTTGCTGCTTACTGGACCAGCGTAGGTCTTTTAGCATTTGTTTAAGTTTCTGACTCCCTGTCTGGAGGAATATTGTTTGTGACATTGCAGTGTTGTGATGAGTGACATAATGTCTTCATAAAGTTATAAAACAACTCATAGCATTACAGCAATGTATGATAGTATCAGCAGTTTTGAAAAATACAATATATCAATAGAGGTAAGAGGGTGATATTTTTTACATTTAATAAAAAATTACATTAATCCATTTTTATCCGCGTGTCTGGAGTCGAGACGTGGGAACAGCAGCAACCCAGACTTCCCTCTACCCAGCCACTTGGGCCTAGCCTAGTGAACTAGAACAAATTCTTGCTTTGCAAAGAATGGTCTAGGCATGCTCCATTGGAACCTCCGCAGCTCCTACCAGGACTCTGGCTAGCCAATCACAGCTCTCTAGAGGGGTTTCAAACACATAAAGAGCTGTGATTGGTCCCTAATGGTGGGCCAATCATAGTGCTCTATCTGCTTAGTGAACAAATCACAGAGCTTAATCTGCTTTGTGGGCCAATTAGGGCACTCTATATGCCTGGTGGGTGGGATGATGCAACAGAGTGAAACAAGAGTATGTCACATTCATTGTCCAGTGGAATGCGGAGATCATTTGAAAGACAACGGTAGAACCCGCCCCACAACCGAGAGCCGTCAATGGAGCGTTACCAGACTACATAATACATTTATTTAGTCTGGCTTGCCAGGCTAACTTGGGCCAGCTCCTCTGGGGGAATCCCAAGGCTTTCCCTGGCCAGCCAAGAGACATTGTCCCTCCAGAGTGTCCTGGGTCTTCCTTTAGGTTTTCTCTAGGTTGGACGTGCCTCGCCAGGAAGGTGTCCAAGAGGTATCCTGACCAGATGCCCGAGCCACCTCAACTGGTGTCAAGTTTAAACCCCTAGACACCATACACAAAGAAGAAAAGAGACACCAAAAGTCAGAATTCTGTTTTATGCTCGAGGAGAATGGAATAAGGTCCGACCAGCTCAGTCTCCACTGGGCTGGCAGGTCCTCCAAAATCACTCTGCCTTTGAAATCTGAGCGTCCTCTATTTATTACAAGCTGGGATTTCCCTAGTTACACGTCTGATGAGCTGATCTTAAGGGAGGCGGAAATCACAGGTCTCAGTTTTTAGTAATTGTTACAAGTTTCACACAAAGACCGTTCAGTATTACACAAAGAGCTTTCAGTGTCTAATCATATGACGTGCAACAAACAGTTGCACGAGTCAGCAGTTGTCCAAGTCAGCAGATGTCCTTGGGTCACATTAGGTCAGTACCAAGGTTCAGCAGCCTTAAAGTCTCATGAGGAGACTTCAAAACAATACAGCAACTGTCCAGCATAAAATGGTAAAATCTTTAAATTTAATAAAAGCATAGAGCACGATTAAAGAGTACACATGTAATTATCTTAACAACTGGCTCCTCTCAATGTGGAGGAGCAGCGGGTTTACTCAGAGCCCCTCCCAGATGACCAAGCTTCTCACCCCATCTCTAAGGGAAAGCCCAGCCATCCTGCAGAGAAAATTTATTTTTGGCCGCTTGTATCCACAATCTCATTCTTTTGGTCACTACCCAAAGCTCGTCAACAAGACCCAGAGATACTTAAACTTCTCCACTTGAAGCAGGACCTCATCCCTGACCCGGAGAAGGCATTCTAATCTACCCTTTCCAAACACTATAATTTGTAAAAACTGCCATGTTTTTGGTGTAAACTTACTATCATTCTCTGGTGATTATGAGGACTGCAATCACAATCCCACATAGAGCTAACAGCACACCAAGCCCAGTGATGACATGGTCTCGTATTATTCCCAACAACAGACTCAATGAATGAATGAAAAACAGACATTGTGTCAGCACTAATTAAGTAAATTAAATGTATTTGGACTATTAAAAATATTATGTTAAAACAGATCATTTTACACCATCTATTTGTTTTACTATTCAAATATTTGCTCATACAAACCTGTCTCCAATTTAGTTGGTTCACCAAACAAAGTCTCACCAAATACAGCCTCGGCACAATAATAGGTCTCAGCGATCTGTGTTGTTTTGGATGGTCTGTGGCCATATCTTCTTCCTGCTTGGCCATTAAAGATGATATTATTAATGAAAATGAAACATGTGTGAAACTCTGATCCAGACTTGTACCACTGAACTAACCTGAGCACGGATATGAGCTGTGATCGGGCTTCAGCTCAGCTCTTCAGAAACCTACAAGTGACATCAAAGAGTGTTAGCTCAGTATTTTTTCAGTCATTGGGCTCCTGGGACCTTCAGAGCACCAAAATAGTTTGATTTGAGGCTCAAAGAACAGTTTCCGTATGTAAATAAACAGCATTTTACTGCAACTTTAAAGTAGGTTTCAGATTTCCATTTCTACAGAATAACAAGTCATTGTTGTAATGCATGCATCGCTACAATCACCTTTTAGGTCACTGTAGTGGAGTTATGGTTAGAAAAAGTCTTCAGTAATCGTGTGTGTGTGTGTGTGTGTGTGTGTGTGTGTGTGTGTGTGTGTGTGTGTGTGTGTGTGTGTGTGTGTGTGTGTGTGTGTGTGTGTGTGTGTGTGTGTGTGTGTTGCTATTGTACATGCAAAATAAGATCTGGGGATCTTTACCACATCCTGCATTGCAAGTTAAGTGTCCATCCACTGATACAACTGTCTGCTTCAATACCTTGTTGTTCTTCAGGAACTTCAGACCCTGTCCACACGTAGCCAGGTATCCCACAAAATGAGGATATTTTTCTGAGGGTTGGTCTGTCGTCCACATGAAAGTGAAGATGAACAGCACGACTCTTAAAAACTCTGGCCAAAGTGAAGATTTGCAAATACTCCATTGTCAGGATTTGCTCGTGCATATAAAACCGCGATTTTTCCCAACGTCACTGCTCATGACAAAAATGAGACCTTGGTTTACACTTGATTGCTTGTTTTTTCAAGCTCAATAACTGCTCTATGTGGAAGATCACAGGTGAAAGACACCTTACGGGGACTGCTATAGTCCACCGCTTTGGCCCAATCTCAATACTCGCATTTCCACATTTGCGCCCTTCAATTGCGAGATCCCAACCAGGGGTGCGAGTGCATAAGGTGTCCCGATTCTCAAGTGCGGAAGTTGATCATGGCACTTGTGCACCCTTGTGCTGCACTGAAGTATATTACTCACAATCCATTGCTGCAGGAAAAAACGCTCAAGCGCCTTTTCTGAAAATATGTATTTTCTAATGAAATTAGTTAATTTTAGGATGATTAGTTGATACTGTTTTGGCTGGTGCCACTCATGTTTTAATTTCATTTCATCATCAAGGAGCAACAGGCTGGGCATGTGGTCTCTGTCCTGTTGGCTCCTTAGAGTGCTTTTGTTTTAATCTCTTTTAGCCAATTTGTGTCTTTTATGTGCAGGGGTTTCCCTGATTCGTACTTATGTTGGCTAAGTAGAGTTTATTTTGTTTTACCATTTTAGCTGCCGCTGATTAGTCCAGTTGTGTTTATTAATTTTCCTTGGTGTAAATAAATTTAACTTTTAAACACCCGAGCATGTGTCCTCCTTGTTACCCCAGGCCCCCTAGACGGAGCGTAACAATACTCTGAATGTTTTAGGCAAAGCAGCATGAAAGTTAATTTATTTCAAATAAATGTCTGGTTGTTTGAAAGTTGTTAAAGGTTTTTGAAAATTGTATCACAGCGACCAGCATCCCGGCATGCGTTGCGATCAATGACGCAATGTTTCCTGTCTCAATTCGGCAATTATTCGCACACTTAAACGCACTCGAAGCCTTACAGCACACTTTCTCCAAGTGCACTTTGCTGAAGACCGCAGGGCACATGCGAGTGTTGAGATTGGGCCTTTGTTATTCCACATCCTTGGAATGTTTTTCAGCAAAGACCCAAAAGATTTGGGAAGCTACTGCCAGCTCCAAGCTTGATATGTCTATGAATGTGAGTAACAATACACTGGATTTTCTTTGCTGAAAATAAGGTGGTGTCAATTCAAGTTTTTAGATAAGCTGGGGTGGATATATATACGGTTTTACAAAAACCCGATTCCGTAAATGGCCTCAGTTTACTGATGACCAAAGGCTTGTTGTTGGGGAAGTTTTATGTCTCATTGAACCGGTCATACACACACAGTAAACCAGTGAACTTGTTGCTTTGATGCTTTTATGCAAGAAAATGAAGCATAGTGTGTTGTCATAGTTCTAATTTTAACGTGAGTGGACAAGTTCTCTTCTTCAGCTTAACGTGGATGGAAATGTCATCACTTTTAGGTGTGACAATTTCCCCACACCCAGTGTTGAGTCTTAATAAATGCAACACTCATTAACTCCAATATGGCCAGCAAATTAGCTAAACTTCCTGAGTACATTTACTACCATCACACACATTCAGTGATTAAACTTTTTTATTGTCATTTTAATTTATTAACTTTGGATAAAGGTGTATAAAAATCATCACCCACTGCAAGTGGGTGCAGATTAAAGAGGCTGTTTATGCTTACATCTATGCTGTTAATAAATGTAATTTATGCTAAGTCATCACGCTTTGAAAAAATGGTCAAATGCTATTCACTATGTACACCTATGTTCCATTATACCCACTAAATCCTGTTCAAGGTGATGGGGAACAAGATTCAGTCAGCTATGAACATCTTGCACCCAGGTGGCCAGTCAACACAAAAGCAAGAGTTCACACACATTCATACCTGAGACCCAACATGTGTTTGGACCATGGGAGTTAACAAGATTTCTCAGAAAGGTGCAAATTTGTAACCTAAATGCTGTGAGCTCACAGTGCTAACCACTGTCTACTATGCTGCATTTTTTAAGTATAAAACTTTGAATTTTGATTGTACTAAAAGATTTATACACATTTTTAATTATTTATTTAAAGGAGGACATTGCATACTTATGAACAGTAAAATGACTGTAAATATGCCAGATTATAGCATATATTCATGCATAAAATGCAGTCCTTTGGCAGGTTGATGTTGCTAAAACAAATAAAACAATCAACAACATAGACAAAGATATAAAAAAACAATTAAAAACATGTTGTACAACAAGAACACATACGTGTTAGTTTAAGAATGATGTCAGGCAATTTGTCTCTTATATATATTAATCCTAAATCATATATGACTGCATATTTCAATATCTTTTCAAATCTATAAAAACAGCAGCAACACATGTATTTCTATCCAAATATGATTTAACCTTTTCAATAAAAACAGACAGCTGTCTGTGTTAATTAAAGGAGGATGTGTTTACGTTTTATAAATACTATAAATAAAACCACAAACTTATGATCTGACTTACTTGTAGAAAGTTAAAAAAAACTCAACACATTTTTAAGTTTTATTTTTAATGAATTTCACTTGTTTGAAAACATAAAAACGGCTACAACATGAAAAAGTTGAGCTATTTTTTCACATAGAAGGAATGTTTGAAGAGAAAACAGAGAAAAGATAAAGAACATACCAGAAATAAAACGGAACAGAAGCTGTATGGATTATCTGACTGCCTCACGTCGAAAGTGGATAATTACAACATCATTAGAAATACTGCAAAACACTATTTATTCAAGAAAATACTGTTTATGGTGGAAAGATGTACATGGATTCTACTGTCGCAAGATTTTATTTCAGACTCACAACTGTGATTGTAGTTTTATTCATTCAATTTAAATAAACTCTTTCAAGTTTCAATCAAAACCTTGTTCACATTTAGCAAAAGGACGTGTGTTTTAGCATCTCTGCATTAAAACCAGGAGGAAATAATATGTTCTTTCGAAAAATGTTGGGTTTTGCAGCATTTTTACTTTTCTGTGTGATCTCAGTGCCCTCTGTTCACTTTTAACACCAGATTAACAGACATTTAGTACGGTTTAAAACCGGAAAATGAACAAACAGCTGATTTATTCAGGAGCAGCAACATGGATGACACAGCCCATTATAAGACATAAATTAACCTCACATCAAATGCAATGTTATGCATGGGGGAATGCTCACTGCCAATAAATAGTCCTGCACTAAATTCTACGCGTCTGTTTTGTGTTAGAAAAAATAAGTAATGTGTATTATTTAATATGCTTGTGTGCAACTTGTGTTACCTCCATGCAGAATGAACTCTGCAAGACAAAGACGTTTACCACATCAGCGTTCTGCTCCAACACAACTTCTCTTCTTCATTGTTGATTTTTTTTTTCAGTAAAACACACATAAGACATTAAAATCCAGAGATGGTGTGTTCATGTAGAAAGGCTCACAATGAAAAACATCCTGATGTCTTCTAAAAAAGAAGAACTCGGAGCTTGAACTTGAAAGGAGAACATGTAAACCGTCATAAAACACATTCACACGTTTCATTTCTGACTGAGTCTGATTAAACCAGAGAAAACACACTTTTCCTTAATTTAGTGTTGCAACAATGTACTAAAAATGGCTGCTTTAGGTTTAGGAAACTAAATTCATCACAAAGAGTTTGTACTTTTGTCTTAGAAAACAAAAATTAAACATTTGCTCTTAAACTCATAAAAATAAGGGAATATATTAAAAATAAATAAAAATATAAATATGTTACATACAAGCAACCCACATGGGTTTAGGCCTTTACATTCAAAATCAGCTCATTGTTTGGTTTTAATAGTCAAACTTGTGTCTTTTTTACTTTTTAAACTTTACTTCCAAACGAAGTACACCGTCTCTAAAACAAGATGACAAAAAAAAAAACACAATCAAACAGCAAACAAAAATGGATGAAGCTATCAGATGTTCCTAAATGGAATCATCTGGTGGCCGAAACAACACAATAAAAACCAACACGACTAATCTCTACTTCACAGATCAGACTAGCCACCGTCTCAATCCCGCAAACAAGCCTCTAATTTATTTATTTTTTAAAACTATTCTTTCAGCTCTTAGCACAACATTCCACATCAAGCTCCAATAGGTCAAAATCTCAGAAATGGCACTTCAGTAACAGCTGTACTTATCAGGTTGTATTATTACTCATCAGTGTTAGTTAGTGGGAGGTGGGATTTTGATTTGATTTATTTAGTGCAGTAAAAAGGTTTTTGATTATTGCTAAATTAGCCTGTTTAACTTTTTTTGCTGGTGCATCCAAATGGAATGGCTTATTTAGTTTTTTCTTACATTTTGTGCTTAGGACGGCAGCCTGGCAGAAAGTTCCCTCAACCTCCAGATTGTAAAGAGCAGCTATCTCCACATGGGGGCGACAGTGGTCTCAAAAGGCAAAAACAACAACAGAACCGGGGTGAAGGTGTTCAGATTGGCTGCAGATCGTACCCGCCCGTTGTTTTTGTTCCATTTGGACCCGTTTCTGTCCCGGCCTCGGGGAGGTTTTGCAGGACTGGAGACGGGGTTGAGTGGAGATTTGCTGTAGGGTGGGGAATAAGGCCCATAACCTGGCCAGTCATCGCTGTACCTTTCCCCGTGGTCCCCTCCTCCTGAGCCACTGCCCTCCTCACCTGAAACAAGAGAAGAGATCAGCTGTATTTTAGGCTCCTTCTTAGATTCATATAGCCTAGTGAACTAGACCAAATTCTTGCTTTGCAAAGTTTGGTCTAGGCATGCTCCATTGGAACCACCGTAGCTCCTACCAGGACTCTGGCTGGCCAATCACAACTCTCTAGAGGGGTTTCAAACACATAAAGAGCTGTGAATGGTCCATAATGGTGGGCCAATCATAGTGCTCTATCTGCTTAGTGAACAAATCACAGAGCTTTATCGCTTTGTGGGCCAATCAGGGCACTCTATGTGCCTGGTGGGTGGGATGATGCAACAGAGTGAAACAAGAGTATGTCACATTCATTGTCCAGTGGAATGCGTAGATCATTTGAAAGACAACGGTAGAACCCGCCCCACAACCGAGAGCCGTCAATGGAGCGTGGCCAGACTAAATAATACATTTATTTAGTCTGGCTTGCCAGGCTAAGATTCATACTCATGTTAATGTAAACTCACTGTCCATGAAGTCCACGTCCTGTCCATTGAAAGCGTGTCTCAGCTTGTTGGTCACCACCCTCAGTTCCATGATCAGCTGTCTGATCCTCACATCGGGACGGGTGATGTCCACCTCCACCTCTGGGTTGTTGATCTGGCTGAGGAGCCCGTCACCCGTCACATCTGGGAGGTACCTGAACCAGAGCACAGAGCAGAGATACTAAAGACTTTTTAACACTTTTGCTTTCAAACTGGTTTCAGTAGCTCTTTAACCAGAAACTTCAGCAGCTTCACACTGGACAGCACTCTGCAGCCCTTTGCTGACCAGAAACGGCACGATAAAAGTTGGTGGTTTGGGGCATCACTGGTGGGAGGTCTTTTCCTGCTCTATGACTTTACTGTGCCAGCAGCTCATATAAAGGCTAAAAGTTAGCTTTTCCAGTTAGCCCACTGTCAATAAAACTGCATGAAGGAGGAGAAGAGGTTTGTTTTTTGTTGGCTTCATGACGGAGCCTGGAAATAAAAGGCTCCTTCCGTCTTTGGAGGTGAAGCAAATAAGGTGTAAACTAGACAAACAAGAGTGCAGCCTACCCTGTTTCAGCTTCAACCATCTAAAAGAGAAGAAAGCAAAGTCCTACTTCTTTATTTGTTTCTGGATTGCAATTAATCCTATGTTCATCAAAATACGACACGTCTGACGACGCCGTTATCTGCTAAGCCAGCCAAGCTACAGCAGGCTGCAGAAGGATTATTAGAATAGAATAGAATAGAACAGAATAGAATAGAATAGAATAGACTTTATTGATCCCACAGTGGGGAAATTCACTTGTTACAGCAGCAACAACACTTAAGAGAATAATTTGAAGAAAAATTGATAATGATATTGCACAAGTATTGAACACATACTGAGTATTGCATTGGTGTTATTGTGTAACAGGGTAATGCCAGTACAGCTTAAACAGAGGAGTTATACACTCTTACTGCAGAGGGGATGAATGACCTACAGTAGTGTTCTGTTTTACATCTGGGATGTCTCAGTCTGCCTCTGAAGGAGCTGACCATGATCTCCACAGTGGAATGCAGTGGGTGGGAGGTTTTTTAATATGGAGGTCATCTTCCCCAGCCTCCTCCTTTCACATGTCTCTTCAAATGTATCCAGTGGGCAGCCCACAACCAAGCTAGCTTTGTGAACTAGCTTGTTCAGTCTCTTCCTATCTCGGTCAGAGCTGCCTGCACCCCAACAGATCACAGCAGAGTGGATAACAGAGCCAACCACAGAGTGATAAAAGGATTTTAACAGCTGGGAATTAACTCCAAAGGACCTCAGCCTCCTCAGGAGGTGGAGGCGGCTTTGGTCCTTCTTATACAGAGCATCTGTGTTGTTGGACCAGTGCAGTTTATTTGGGGCCATTGTAATTCCACTTTCTGTCAGTAGGAGAGAGAAGCAGAAAACTTACGCTTTAACTTTTGTCTCTGTGAGGTTCATAAATGTTTTAAAGTGGAAGCAGCCATCTCAGTGTTTAATAGGAAGACTTCCATCTCAAGGGTGACAGTATAAACTGCTGAAGTACGCTTCTTTTGAACATCTGAACTTTTCTTTTGATGGATTATTTTGACATTCATGAATTTCAGAAAATCTGTTTTTCATAATTGTGATGCCTTAAAGTTCATGTTTGTCACATTTAATGGGATTTGTAGCCAAATAAATGTCTACTTTTCATTGGGAATTTGGACTTGCAGAAGGTCATGTTTAAATCAGCCTTTATAATACTGGAATCATTTCAGAATAGTCTACATCCACAGAGGCTACCAGTTCTCTGTTCTAAAGTAATTTTAAATCCTTTTTTAAAGTTAGTTATGGAGGTGGCTCAATGTTCTGTAAATTTTCAAAACATGAGCAAAAGGGAACGCACTACAAACTAAAACAACATCTGTATTATTTTGCCAACAAGCTACCAGCAAACACACAGAGAACTGAACCATTCTGCCAAAACGTGTAAATTCAGAAATCCCACAAATAGACAAGATGACAACAGAAGTGTTTCCAAGATGAGAAGAAATGTGACTCATCACACTGGGACTCGCTGCTTTTTATTTTAGGCCTTCTGAGCACCGTTTGATATGATCAACTATGAGCTGAAATATGTTTCCCAATATTTTAGGGCCCCCTTTTCTGTCACTGGCTCAAATCATATGTTTTATATCTTGTACTGACAGTAAATGTGATCCTGGTTCTCCCATGGATCGGCGTGAAGCTGCACAGAACTTTCTGCTATATTAATAAGATTCAAAACCCGGGAAATGAAGAACTCAGTTTAACAAGTCCTGAAAGAATTTACTTCAACCTCATCCGTGTGCCAACAACGGCTGCAGGGTGTGTGTGTGTGTGTGTGTGTGTGTGTGTGTGTGTGTGTGTGTGTGTGTGTGTGTGTGTGTGTGTGTGTGTGTGTGTGTGTGTGTGTGTGTGTGTGTGTGTGTGTGTGTGTGTGTGTGTGTGTGTGTGTGTGTGTGTGTGTGTGTGTGTGTGTGTGTGTGTGTGTGTGTTTTGACTCAAACTGATGATGTTCTGATTTGCAATGATCCATTTATGTATTTCAATGTGCAGCAGTGAATGGAGGTCTTCACTTTCTGGGTGTTTCACATTTTACCAGCTTTTTAAATTTGTCTTACAGGATTTATTTATTTGGCCGTAATCTGAAATCCGAGAACTGTTAACCTGATAAGACACCAACAGACTTGCCTTTTCATTTTCATCCTTTCTCACACAAAGACCCTGGTCGTGTTCCAGCTCTGGTACACCATGCTGGCCTCACACAGAGAACCTGTGGGGAACGCTAGTGGCCAAATTAAATAAACCTACTTCCATCTGTTGCGTCCTTCCACCTCTGCACCATTTATTTCCTCATTCAAGCTTCCTCCGCCTGTTCCTAAACGCCCCCCTCCAGCCCCTTTGCTCTGATCTCACCCACCTCCCGCGGGTCTGTCCATTCCAGCAGCGGTTCTCGTTAGTGACGTCGGCTGCCATCCTCTCGTCGTTGCAGATGGTGTGTGGGAGGGACACCCAGAAGCCTCGCATGGGCCGCAGTCGCTCCTTCAGCTCGGTAACCTGAGTGGAGGTGGAAGGGAGATGTTTATGAGTCAGACCTGGTTCTGAAGTCTCCCAGTGTGTGTGTGTGTGTGTGTGTGTGTGTGTGTGTGTGTGTGTGTGTGTGTGTGTGTGCGTGCGTGCGTGCGTGTGTGTGTGTGTGTGTGTGTGGGTGCACGCATGAAAATGACTGCTTCCTGTTCACTCCTGAAATCCACTCTATCTAAGAGATATAAATAACTTCATGCTGCTCCTCCTCTACCTGTGTACTGTATTAAAAATTTTTTTAGCTTTGGTCATCGTGTAAGTGGTCAAGAGTGGACTATCTAAGTCCTCATTTTCTGCTTTGGTGGTTTTGTCCTCACCAAACATGGATGTAGTTTTGACATTCTTTATTCTTCCCCTAGCTGACATCTTTCAATCTTTCCCAGACATCTCCTACCACATCTACGCTGATGATATACAGCTCTATATGTCCTTTATGCCACACCAGTTGGACAGGCTGGCCACCCTTGTACTCTGCCTGACCCAGATCAGTAACTGGCTGTCCAGCAACTTTCTTGTCCTCAATACTAACAAGACAGAGACCCTGATCGCTGCACCCCCGGAACTTCAGCCAAAAATCGAGCAAGAAATTGCCTCTTTTTGCCCATCAGCCAAGGCCAACATTAGAAACCTAGGAGTTATTTTTGATCCAGCTTTAAGTTTAGACTCACATGTCAAAACCATCTCCCGCTCTTGTTTCTTTCAACTGAGAAACATTTCAAAAGTCCGTAAACTGGTTTCTACTGCAGATCTGGAAAAAATCATCCATGCCTTTGTGTCATCACGCTTAGCCTATTGCAACGCTCTTTTTACTGGTCTCAGCAAAACCTCCCTCTCACGCCTTCAAGCCATCCAAAATGCAGCAGCCAGACTCCCAACCAAATCCAGCAGACGAGCTCACATCGCTCCAGTTTTACAGTCCCTCCACTCAGGGCCAGATTAAGACTTTGTTGTACCCTGGGCAACAATATTAAAGGGCCCCATCATCATGACCCAAGGCTCACCATAATATGGTCACATACAGAATATTTTACTGTAATATGCAGTAAATATACTCAATACTTGAATGCCTGATGTCACGTAACCCGCTCAGGGTAACCTTTGACCCACCTTGTGTGGACTGACCAATGAGGAGAGGGTCTTAACTTGAGGCCCTCTCTTCATTGGTCAGTCTGCAAGAGACTGACTCTCAACTGACGTTCAAAGCCATAGGCAGCGAACAGTCTCTGTGCAGCGCAAAAGCCCGGGTGGACAGTTTGTTTAATATAGAGTCACCATATTTCCATTTCCAAACAAGAGGACAGGGGATCTGTGCCTATGACGTCACACTATGGCAACGCCACACAAACCATGTTGGGACCCATTTTTTTTGTAAGAACTACATTAATATCAGATTCTGCCAATAAAAGGGCTCTAAAACAATAAATACTTAGCATATTTACTGCAAAATCTCATTTTTCTGCTCTAGTGCTGCAACAAGGTTTTATTAATAATAAATTACTATACCTTTTGTTTTACTACAGCATCGGTAAGCTTCCTGTGCACAGATTATTAAGGATGCTTGTTTCAGCTGTGAGATTAGACGATAGGATAAATGAAAAAATAAGTTGTCACACTGGAAACTTTCAGAGAATCCACAAATAGTGGCTTTCAAATGGTTTTGTTACTTTTTGCAAGTTTAGAAAAGCAGCAGATGAGACAGCATGTCTGATAATTTAGTTTTTCATCTGATAATATTAGAACATGTCAGTAATATCTGAGGGGCTTTTATAAACACTGTATAACTAACACTCCTGGAGAGGGTATGGATTACACAGAGGCTTCTGGGGAGCCCAGCAATGGGGGTTGGGTGGTGGTGGTGGTGGTGGTGGTGTGTGTGTGTGTGTGTGTGTGGGGGGGGGGGGGGGTCATTTCGCCTTGGCCCCCAAAATGTCTTGAAACGGCCCTGGGTGAGTTTTGAAGGTGATCTGAATTGTATCAGATGTATAAATATTACAGGTGTATAACTTATTGTTTAATACAGGTAAAAACGTGTAGTGGAGATAAATCTACGTACATTTTACTTTTCAACACTTTGTTTTGTTTTCTTGTTTTTATTTAACTATTTTCCTGTCCTGTCTGTCTCTCATCTTCCTGCATCTCCTCTAAACTCTCCAGAAAAACTACTGCCTGGATTCTTACTTTTTCACCTCATCAGTTACTTTGGAGCAGATCAAAGGGATCTCCTGACCGCAAAGCGGAGAGCGCATTTCGATGATGCGTCAGTGAGGTGAAATCACCGCAGCACAGGTGAAGCGCTCCGCAGTGGCAGAGCGCTTCAGGCACAAATAAGACAGAAAGTAGAGAACATGTGCGGACATGAACGATCGTGTGTTAATTATAGTTTTTTGGTTGCGCCACTTTGAGAATGGACCGTGCGCTGGACGCAGCCGCCTGGAGCGCTGAACACTGATCATCGCTCTGCCGCTCTCTGCTGAAAAGAATCCATGAATGATAATATAGTAATATAGGTAGAAAACTTTTTTCCGGCTCCCCTGGATGTGTAGGATATACAGCACCCCCATCCCTGCTCCTGGATGAAAAGCCGGACATTTTCATCAATACAAGAACCCGGACATCCCGGACAGAGTGAAAAGCGGACATGTCTGGGGAAAACAGGACGTACGGTCACCATAGTCCTCATAAAGCGGGAGACAGTAATTTCCTTGTGCCCTTGCTGCCCTGGGCCCTTTAGAGTTTGTGGGCCCTGGGCAATTGCCCAGTTGCCCATATGGTTAATCCGGCCTTGCCTCCACTGGCACCCGGTAGAATATAGAATTCAGTTTAAAGTTTTAGTCCTGACCTATAGAGCTCTTAACAACCAGGCTCCAAGCTACCTATCTGAGCTTTTAACCCCACACACCACCTCTCGGAACCTTAGATCCACATCTGAAAACCTCCTGGCTGTTTCTCGAACCAGACTGAAAACCAAAGGGGACAGGGCTTTTCAGACTATTGCACCCAGACTTTGGAACAGTCTGCCTTCAAATCTCCGTCTCTCTAACACTGTAGAGGTCTTTAAAAATCATCTAAAAACTCACCTTTTCATCCAGGCGTTCCCTCCCTAAATGTTCAAAAATATGGCTTTGTTCTTGTTCACACCGTCACTTTGTTTATACTCATGATTTAATTTACTATTTTATCACTGCTATTGTTTTTCTGATGTTTTTATTGGTTAGAGGTATTTGCCCTGATCTTTATCATGTTGTACAGCGCTTTGTGATTTATATCTGTGAAAGGTGCTATATAAATAAACTTTTACTTACTTACTTACTTACTTACTGTAGAAGTGTGTGTGTGTGTGTGGGGGGGGGGGGGGCATAACTAGCATGACCTAGGGGGGTCTTTACAGTAAGTATACAAGAAATATGCATAAAACAACAGCCTAGAGGCTCTTTTATACAATGTCAGGTACACAGGTGGCAGTAAAAAAAACTAATACTTAAAATTCGGCTTTGTTTTTCACCTTGTTAGTCATTTTCATTCCTACTCATATGGGCCATTCCCATCTGTACCTGGTCGGCCCAGCCCGGATAGCTCCAGTCGGCCCCAGCCTGGCCCGGTTGATTCCACACATCCTTGCTTAGGTATGCAAGGAATGCAGTCAGATACATTTTCAGCTTCTAGGTAATCAGCATAATAATGAATGATAATGAATTGAGCATGCCTTAAGCCCATGTGGGCTGATTCGACCCACCAGTCAGAGGCTTGCTGTAATGGAAGGTGTGAATTTGCGAGTAAGGTCTAGCTGCGGACGTAGCCCTGGCCAAACACGCCCCTATGTACAAAACACGCGTGCATGTACGAAGACGAGAACTCGCATGCGTGTAGCAAGAGATGGAAATGACGGTTCAGGTAAAGACAGATTTATATTTTTACAACTTGTGAAGATTTTATACTAGAAATTTGAACGTTAGTTTGATAGATAGCGCATTCGTAATTTTTTTCTGAAACACTTTTATATAAAATTAAGCATTATTGGCAGTGGGGGAAGACGTCATGGACGCAAATTTTTTTAATATAATTTTTAATGGGCTACATGCAAGCCTTTTGGCCAAAATAAACATAACAATAGGCTGTTTATTTGACCGTTTATGACTCCTCATCTAATAAGCAGCAAACTCACGACGGCAATGTGGTAGCCCGGAGGTATTCTACAAACACAAGAGCAGTGCTAATGCCTATATGCATTGTTTTCCCATTGTTTATGACAGCCTCTTGTTTTCACATTGTTTATGACAGCCTCTTGTTTTCACATTGTTTATGACAGCCTCTAGGTGTAAATGTCATTTTTACTAATTGCTATTTATCTTTGTCTCATTAGTGAGAGGCAGCTGATGTCCTAATGCCATGGAACTGCTCATATACTCGGGAGAGAAATTCAGAAAAGCTCTGGACTCATCTGCTGTAGCATTGTGTGGACATTTATTTATTTATTTATTTATTTTGGGAAGGTATTTGTAAGGCCAATAAAAGCTGTTGCTGGGTGTTTCATTTGTCAGAACTTTTTTTCTAAAGCCAAACTTTTCTGCTTTTGTGTTTACAGTATATTTTTTAAAGATTAGTGCATGGTCAATATCAGTTTACTAGTCTTGTGAATTGTATACTTAATGCAAAATATTTTAGTAATTTCTAAATCAATACATTTTGTGTCAAAGGGCCAGCAATTATTCCTGTTAACAGAATACATGAAATGCATATATACACATGTAAATATGCCTAAAAATTACACATCAGCAGCTTTTCACTGTAAAGAAGCAATAAAAAATCACAAATAGTAACATAAATATTAACTACTCACTCGTATGAACTTAGACCCACTACTGCTGTAGGAGGCGTGCTCCCAAAAATGGAGGCCAGTGGGCTTAAGGGGTTAATTAAAACGATTACCACTAATTACTTTTTCTGATATTTTATTTTATTGCATTTAAAATAAACACTTGCACATACACTACTCACCTGCTAACTTCAGTAAGCATAGGTATGTTGTGCCTATTGTCCAGCAACTGATTATTTGTTGGTGGTATCTGTGTTTTATAATCTCACTGGGGATGGCCAAAAAAATCCATGCATTCATATTTAAACCTGGAGTCCTGTCTGTTTAATTACATTATTACTATTTCTTTATTTATTTTCTTTCAATTGTGTTGTTCGCTGGGAGGGCCGCCGTTATTGAGCTCGGGGGTAGCTCAACAGGGGGGCGTGTTTTGTCGGGGTGGGGGGAGGGGGTGTTGGCCGGGGGCGAAGGGGGTGTGCAGGGGGCGTGTTTGGCCGGGGGCGTGTTTGGCCGGGGCTACGTCCGCAGCTAGGTAATATTGGAATTTGCTGTCAGCAGTGGGTGTGTTGGCCCTGGTCAGCCTGAAGCAGACCACCTCAGAAAGAGGGCTGAAAAACAGTCTTGTTGCACCCTGAAAAAAGGCTGGCCACCAAGATATGTAATCAAGCTATGCTATCCAGGCCGGGCCGACCAGGTACAGATGGGAATGGCCCAATTGTTACCATTTAACACTTATTTTTGAATATCTGATCAATAGTTACATCAGATTCTAGCCGAACTTCTGAAATATTTTGACTCTAGTTAAGCTCAAGAGTTATATAATTGGATGGATTATCCCAGACTAGTAAATGTGAAAATTAAATCAAATAATTTCAAATGTTTGGACCACCAGCACCACCTAGTGGTGGTTGTGTATAATTGACTGTAATATCAGGTGGAAACTAATAAAAAATATTCATAAATTAAAGCAAGTAATCATCAACTTTATTTGAAATGACTGCAATAGAGAGGCATCTCTCATTTTAAGGCAGTTTTATGGAAGAAAATCAAACTTTTGATTAAAAAAAAAAGAAATGTGAACATGCACCACAGAAGGGTTAACTATTAACATTTCTACATAATCAACTCATCCAAACCTTCCAAACAGGTGTCTTTGATCACTGGCAGAGATAAATTCCTGGCAGAGATTTTTATTTTGTCTATTTAATATAGCGTAATGTTGTCTTTGGACAGTAAAAAGTGCATGGGACAAAAATTGACTTTGAAGAACTATGTCCATGTCAGCAACTGAAACCAGAATATAATATTGTCTGAATATAAAGATTAAGTTCATCATTTTAATGCTTAAGGATAAATCCAATAATGTGTGTTAATAAATTAACCTGAAGTAACTCAAATGTTTCCTCACTAAGTGGGGAAAGTATCTCAGACAGTAAGCACCGGTAGCAGCAGCTGTTCACTTTATCGACTCCGTACAAATGTTTAGTTGGTGAATAGAATAGAATAGAATAGAATAGAATAGAATAGAATAGAATAGAATAGACCTTTATAATTCCACAAAGGAAAAATGTAAGTGTTTCACATCTCTCATAGCAAAAGGACCATAGGTGAAGGAGACACTAAATAGCTCCATACAAACAAACAGAATTTTGTAAGTACAGAAAACATATAAAATGTACAGATATGTGTATATGGGTGTGGGGTGTGTGAGGTGAATGGAGATTTGACCCTTCAGGGTTTGTTTTGTCCTCACCAGTCGGTCCAGGTTGGTGCCTGCAGCAGTGGTGGGTTTCTCCTCAGCTGTGTAGGTGCGGAAGGGCCTCCGGCTGTCTCCTGATTCTTTGGGTGATCGTTTGGACCGGGCCGGGGCAGGCCTGGGGTTTCCACACCCTTGGAAGACCTGAAGTAGATCAAGTAGAGATAACATTTTAGATTTTTAACAGGTTACCGGAAATTTTAAAGTTTTTATAGTCTTAATCTGAAGCTTTCTGGGTTTTTTATAGCACATATGCTGCTTCAGTCTCCCTTTAAACCTTTTGGTTTCATTTTGCTATAATCTGAGTCACTTTCATGGCTTAGATTTTCTATTTTGCAGTTTGAAAATGGAATATTTATGACGAATGTCTTCACCCTCAAACAGCAACAGGTGCTTTGTAGCAAATGTTCTTTTAGTAATGGTTTTCTGCTTTCATCTTTTATTTTGTTTAACCTTTAGCCTTTTTTTTGATGTCTGAAGGAACCTTTGGATCCAATGGCAGGAAGACATCCTGAGACCAAAGCCTGAAGCCACCTGATCATGCTTTTGAGAATGCAGCCAGTAGCAGATCTAAAGACTTTTATTTAAGGTGGCAAAGGGCCGTCTGCATGTCCACCGTTACGAGTTTGTATAAAAACACACTTTAACATTTTTTTTTCTTGGTTTACTTCCAAACTTCTGTCATGAGATATATCATCACACAGATATAAAAACTTTGATTTATAAATTCATTTGGTTTAAGATATTAAGATAAAGCAAAATGATTTAAAAAAAAAAAGAAAATAAATTAAAGGATTTGAATTCATCTTTAGGGAGCTTTATCAGTTTGAATCAGCAACCAGTGAAAAATAAAAAAATAAAGATTACGACAGATTTGCTACAGCAACAATAGGATGTAGTGTAATTGTTATTTAAAAAATAACCGGTTGAATAATAAAAAAAAAAATGTCCAGTCAAAGATTGAAGTTCTTCTTCTTGGCTGAATGAAATAGAAACCTCTTTTACTCTCATCACATCTGGTGGAAGCAGCTTAATACTGGGGCTGTTATGTTCTCTGTCATTTTGCCACCGTGCATTAGGAAGATTGGAATTAAAATATAATCAAGATTACAGCTCTGGATTACCGAGAACACAGGATGATGACTCTTATGTCCTCTCAGAGGTTCTGTTGTTCAAATGTTCCATTTTCAAATTCGGTCAAAGCAACAATGGACGGTTTTAATTTCCTTTTCCTGTAATCAGCTGGTGATGCTCCCCTGCTTACCCTACTGGAGATGCTGACGCTGTTTTCCTGCATGTGCATGATGGCCTCGGACACTTTAACAGAGATGGAGTCCACGGCCAGCTCGAAGTTAAAAGGGCCCTCGAGCTTCTCAGAAACGAGGTACAGAGCGTCTGAAGGGAAGCAGAGCAAAGGTTTCTTACATGTTTTTATTGTGAGGCTCTTCTTTGTAAGAGCCAAATTAATGTGAAGACAATAGCTCGCTGCTATAACCGGCTAACCAGCCTCAGGTGGATTTCCTGGAATCATTTTTAAAACAGCGTGAAAAAAAAGAGTTTATTGCAAGTGCGGTGATGAAAGGGAAGCTTCAGAGTCAGGAGAAAAAATGAAAAGAACATGTAAGTTTGATGAAAGGAGGAGGAGAACATGAGCAGGCAGATTGGTTGTGATGGGGCAAAGAGGCATAAATGATTAATGAAGGAGGAGAAGAAAGAGGGAATAAATGAGTGACAAGGGTGCAATAACATACGTCTAGTTTTAGTTATGTCCACTTTAAATCTGCTCATGACTGAGAAAGCTGCTAAAAGTGATTCAGGTAAGAAGATTTTTGTGCAGAGGGATCAGAAATGATTCAAACAAGCAAAAAGAAGGCTGGAGCACTTAAAAGTGACGAAAAATTTAATAGGTGCAAGCACCAAAAAAACCTAGTGTTTCAACAGCTGCCGGTGTCTTCGTCAGAGTAAGCTCCGCTCCGGCACGAACTCCGCAGCAAAAACGGTCCCGTTGTAGTCAATCAGAGCAATTCCACTACTGCGGCAGTGCGGCGCAGTGCACCGCCCTCTGTTCCGGCGTCCGGAAAAAATAGAATCGATCCTATTTTTGCTGGACGCCGGAGCACCTCCGCAGTAAATGGACAGAAATCACAACGGCCCAACAGGAAAAGGAGCGAGCACATCTTCCGTTTTTCACAATAAATGGATAAACAAAAGGCGTTTTTTGTTTCATATGCACAGGTTTAACAACTGTTAACAACTATCAGTGGCAGCTGAAGTTTAAATGCACAAAAGTAAGCCATAAATACAGTTTCTACTATCAAAGTAGTCACACTTTGTTGATCCAAACATTGCTGATCTCTCAACACAAATGATGGGCAGATTAAACAGTTCACTTCGATGCTTCTCCCACACAATGGGTGTTTGGATCTAACTTCTGCGTTTATTGCTCGGACTGTATCGCAAGATCTCAAAAATCCCGCGCATGCTTGTTTGCCCCCCTCAGGTCTCCGCACCGGAGCGGAGCCGTTGTAGAGCGGGTACCAGTAAAAATTGAGTTCGGAAGCGAGCGGCTGCGGAAGGCGGGGGCGGAGCGGAGCGGAGGTAGTGGAATTTGGGGGTAACATCAGCACAACTTGTCAGGCTCAATATATACAGGTGCACTTAATCAGGAAGTGATCCCTATTGGACAAATACTCTCGGGAAGGAGGAGCAAGTGTACACAAGTAAAAGATAAATGTAGTGAATCTTAAAATCTATCATTTACATTTCATCTGATAACACATATTGTATTTACTGAAAAGGAAATGAAAGAAAACATGACATGTGCTCCAGCCTTCTTTTTGTTTTTTTGCATCATTGCTCTTTATGCGCAGAGGATCTTTGAAGTGAAGGGATCAAAAATGATTGAGAGAGTGTTAAGTAATCTCTCCCACCTAGAAACCTAAAATATGGCTGCAAAGCAGTCCAGCAGCTTGGTCTTATTATGCTGAAAGCATGGCTGTGTGCACCAGCAACCTCTGGTACAATGAACCAAAGCTCTTCAAATGACAGCCATAGATCAAACTAAATGTAGAAACTAAAAGATTTTGGCTTTACTGCGCGTTTTGTTCCAAAAACCTCTAACACTAACTTTTCCTAAAACCCACCAATGAAATTGTTCCATTCAGTGTCCAGGTCAGCCTGATTGGCTAAGCAGCCCTTCATCACGTTAAGGCACAGCAAGTGGCAGGGCCGTAGGGAGGGAACGCCTCGACACAGGGAGCAGTACCACTGACGCATCAGGCCTCGCACACACTCTGAATCTGCTGTCAGCTGAAAACAAAGCAGCACAAAAGGAAGAATAAATAAAAGGACTCAGCTGTGCTAATATTCCTGCTAGTGAACAGCTTTCTCTACAGGCCGTTACCCTGTGATGCTTAAGTACTCTGTAATTTAGCGTTCTGCTTTTACTTGAGGCAGCAGAAAAACACCCACTGGGATCACAGGTATTCTTTTTCTACATGAGGGGATGTTAAATAGGAGTCACTGACCTTTGAGGCCTTGTTCACAATATCCCGGCCGGTAGCCAAGCCCTGAGAGAGCGCCCGGGCAGCGATGAACGCCCTCAATACCTTAATATAAAACCATCGATTACTGAATACAATGAGTCATAGATCACAACCCACGCTCCTCTGTTATAAGACAAGTACAAAACTTTTGTGCTGCTGATATTTTGGATTGTAACATTCACCCACTTGTGCTCGAAGTTTGCGAGGCACATCTCCAAAGGGCTGCAGCTGTTCAACGTGTTTACTAACACACTCCAGGTAGTCCTCGCTGAACTGATACTGGGGGTTGATCAAGGAGAAGACTCGCTCCACCAGTCTGGACCAGAAATCTGAAAGGACCTCTGCCAGACTCACGCTGCCCCCTGTGGACAGTTATTGTAATACACTGTGAACGTCTATGAAAGCACTTCGGTGTGAGGTGTGAAGACAATAATAAAGACACAGTGTTGAGCTCAGTGTCAAAATGATGAGAACAAAGTCCAATTATTATTTCAAGAATAAAGATAAAAGTTTAAAAATGCTATTTCAGAAAGAGCTGAAGGAAGGAACCCTCATTGTTCTTGTCCCAGGAGCTGTCTTTTAGCTACTTCTGCACACTAAGCATCTACAAAACATCTGAAGATTATAAGAACAGTTTGAGTTTGATCAGAAAAATAATAATAAACTACTTTATAGGCTCCAGATGTTTTAGGTGTGCGTTTCAGACTCTTATTGTGAAGGATCAAAGGAAATGTTTTGAGTTCCACTGCAGCCAGAGACAAAAGATTTGACCTTATACTTAATAAAATGGACTTTTCTAGTTTATTCAGTAAAAGCCCACAGAGAACGCTACATTTGTATAATCTTACAAACACAGTCCAGTGTACTTTAGACTTTCCCCATAGACATTTGAATCTTTTTCATGACATTTTAACTTTAATCTCAATATGTCTGCCCTGTTTTTTCCCTCTCACTGGCACCCACACTCTTTGGTAACAATCCAACTGATGAAGACAATGTATGCATTTTCCAGATTTATCATGCAAAAACAAATTAAGAAAAAGTACTCTTGCTAATTTTACTTCTTTTTTCATTTGTTTGTTTGGCGTCACAAATTGCAGGCCGTCGAGCTTTAATGGGCATCATGTGAGATTGATGTAAAACAGCCTGGGAAAAGCTCGGTCACATCTTGTGACTGAAATGAGACACAAACGCTGACAAACGGAAAAATTCTCCAAATAAATCAAATTGAATAAGGCTTGATTTAACCATGGCTCACCATATGATAAACAAAGAGATTCTGAATTAAGCGTACAAATGTCATAATATTTAGCTTTTCTCTGATTTGTATGCTGCATGCTGAACAGAAACAGCATAATGTGGCGTGCTGTCTGCTTGGGTTCTCGTCACTGTCCGCACAGAACGAGCCCGCTGCAGTACAATCTGCAGTCTACGATCCGGACTCAAATTAGCCAAACACGCTGTTTGGCAGACAAAGACAGGCTGCCTAAGCAGCAACGGCCTGCAGATGGACTCGCCAGCAAGCGGCTGTCATGCCAAGACAGAGCTATACGGAACAGAATTAGAAACAGTCTGGCATCCGTGGGAATCCAATTTTCTTTCTCTCTCTCTTTTCTTTTTTCCTGCAATTCCACTTGGCATGTCAGCACGTCTCAAAGAGACAAAGCAGCTTCTTTTCTGCTGTCCACAGTAGCTGTGGATTTAGTAAAACGCTGGGAATTATTGCAGCCATTATCCAGAGTCCTCTACCAACTTTAGCCAAAATAACCTGATTTATGTTTATATTCATGATTTCATTGAAAAGTTACCAACAGTACCAGAAGAGAGTCTGCAATTTGAACTAAACTTGTTTAAAAAAATGATACATTTAACTTTTTGTTTATTTTAAGCAGCAAAGCCACAGAAAAAGGGGCAGCACCATCCTGCAATTACTGGTTTGCAAAGACCACATGACACTGGAAGTCAGATGGATAAAAAGAGTGGTTGAACCAACCGGAGTAATATCTGCGGAGCTCCACAAACAGCTCCTGGAAGACGTGTGCATTCTGAGTGAAGAGCAGGCCGTAGGTCTTGGTAAACATCTGATTCATAGACTTCTCAGAAAGGTCTGTAAGCTCCCTGAAGAACTCTGCAAAGGAAACATGTGAGGAGACACGTAGCATGAATCTATCATCCGACTCCTTATTCTGTCAGCCAGGTTTTTACACAGGAGCTCCGCGAGCAGCTTATAAGAACATCGGATCATGAACAGCTTTGAGCGAGGGCAACAACGTGTACTTTATTCAAAATCTGTCTTAAAGACTCAGATGCAGTCTCCCACTCCTTGAGCGTCTTTACATGACTCATCGCCTATATTATATAAAAGTACCAGGGAAAAAAAGGTGATAACAGTCCAAGCAGGTAGGAGGAGAAAGTGTAAATGCAGCTCTGTGGTGAGGCAGCAGCACAAACCTCCAGCTTCATCAGCTGAATTCATAATAATGAGTGCTAAATTCTCTTAAACATAAATGAGCATTAAAGCTGTTATTGTTTCCAGATGCTTAAAGGGGCTATTAGCTAATTTTACTCACACAGGTCAGTTTACAGGCTGTGGTGAGAGCAGCATGTGGCTCTGGGTAACAGATGCCATGGTGATGGCATCCTGGTTAGTGCGGGTCGGCCTTGAGTGTGTTGGATTTACAACAGGAAGTCTGCAGAAGAGGTTTCTAAAATGTCTGGTTTATAAGGGCGGAGAGGCTCTGATCAAAGGCTCGGCTGTTTTTAAGAGAGTCCAAGTCAGCAAATCTGGGTCTTTGTTGCATCAATTGAGAGTTTTTATGGATGAGCTCAGTGGGCTCACCAACTTTATGCCTGAATTAAACACAAGCAGCAACCACATTTGGACTCATTCAGTCCTGAAATCAATTCACAAGCTCAGATCTTTCAGCATCTGAGTGGATCTGTGATAAGTTAGAGGTCCTGATTAGGGTTTCAGCACTCGTTTGCTGGCATTAAAATCATTAGAAGGGGAGAAAGGAGAGAAAGCACCCTGCATTTTCTGTGTTGACTTCAGATTTAACAAATAGATTATTTTTATATCAAAATTAAAGCAGCAATCCAGAGTTTTCCCTCTTTCAGGAATTGTGTTTTTTTTAGAACTGCCTTAGCCCATATATGTTATAAATTATAACATGTTATAATATGTTATATACATCTCTTTTTGCTAAGACTCCCATCGAGCCCCATGCATTTTGAAATGAACACTGCTCAGCATTAGCCAATAGCATTAGACATCCTATTACTGCAGAAGTCAATCGTAGAGCGTGTGCAAGAGTTTGAGGACGTACCTAGACTGATGCAGGGATGGCAGCATTTCTTATGGATAACTAAGTCTTTAATATACATATGTATGTTAATAACCAATAATTAAATAAATAATAGTTAATTACCCCAGCTCAGTGGCCTAGTGGTAGAGTGTCCACCCTGGGACTGGGAGATCGGGGTTCGATTCCCAGTCGGGTCATACCAAATACTTTAAAAATGGGACCCAATGCCTCCCTGCTTGACACTCACCCCCAAATTCCACTACCTCCGCTCTGCTCCGGCACGAACTCCGCAGCAAAATCGGTCCCGTTGTAGTCAATCAGAGCTATTCCACTACTGCGGCCGTGCTGCGGCAGTGCGGCGCCCTCTGTTCCGGCGTCCGGCAAAAATAGGATCAATTCTATTTTTGCCGGACGCCGGAGCACCTCCGCAGTCTATGGACAGAAATCACAACCGCCCAACAGGAAATGGAGCAAGCACAGCTTCCGTTATTTCACAATAAATCGATAAACAAAAAGCGTTTTTTGTTTCATATGCACAGGTTTAACAACTTTTAACAACTATCAATGGCGGCTGAACTTTAAATGCACAAAAGTAAGCCATAAATACAGTTTCCACTATCAAAGTAGTCACACTTTGTTGATCCAAACACTGTTGATCTCTCAACACAAATGATGGCAGATTAAACAGTTCATTTGGATGCTTCTCCCACACGACGGGTGTTTGGATCCAACTTCCGTGTTTATTGCTCGGACTGTATCGCAAGATCTCGAAAATCCCGTGCATGCTTGTTTGCCCACCTCAGGTCTCCGCACCGGAGCGGAGCCGTTGTAGAGCGGGTACAGTAAAAATTGAGTTCGGAAGCGAGCGGCTGCAGAAGGCAGGGGTGGAGCGGAGGTAGTGGAATTTGGAGGTCAGCTTTAAGGGGTTGGATTGGGGGGTTAAACCACCAAATGGTTCCCGAGCTTAGCCACCGCTGCAGATCGCCGCTCCCCTCCATGGGGATGGGGTCAAATGCGGAGTTGAATTTCACCAGCGTGTGATAATGACTATGGGACTTTGACTTTAAACAACATAACGAGAGAATAACAATTGTAAAACAATACGTTTTAGCTCTGTCACCCAGCTAGAGGTGCATGTTCACAAACGAGAGGTGTTGCTTCTACCTGCAATCATAGAAGTAGTGAGTGGGGCTTAAGGTGCAATTCATTTTTTCGCCTCTAGATGGTGTCATCTGAGAGAAAAATCCAGATTTGCACTTTAACTCAAGTCCTGGACAGAGTGCATATATGCCTTTAGACTTTCAAACTGCCATCTTATACTGAGAAATGATGTGCATTATTTCTGTTTTGGTCCAATCTAGAAAATAAAGTCATGCACAATCTTGTGCATTAATACAAGATGTTGCACGATTCTCTAGAGTGTTGGGACTGTCTTTCAACCACTAGAACATCAAATTGTATCAGAATATTTGTAAAAGGATCTGAGTTGTAGCCGTTTTATGTTCTCTAAGGTTAATTAGCTGTGGCAGCTTTCTTGAGCGCTGTTTTCTTCTAAAGTTAATCAGCTGCAGATGCACATCCAATAATTAGAGTTTCAGTAAAATCAGTCCAGCTGTTGATGAAATATTTTTGCCAAAAAACATGGTCTGCCTTTAGCATTCTGGTGCTGGGTGTCTGCAGGCAACCTCTCACCATCAAACCTGCGATGTCTCTGGGTGAAGGTGGTCAAAAGGAACTGGCTGTTGTCTTCGATGGCTTTGAGGAAATCCCTCTCGCTCTGGAGGGACAGCGTCTCCTCCATCTGACTGGAGCAGCAGGTGTAATCCTGAGGACAGAGCCGCAGGTGCTCACCTATTCAAGACACAACAAGGTTAGGGCAGGCCTCTCAGGTTTGATGCCTAACCAGAGAAACAAGATTACTCAATCATTTTAAATAGAAATCCCCCTGAATTCACCATGACCTTGCTGGAGACGAGACGTCGCACTAATGGGTCATTTTTTTAAAATGAGAATCAATTCATCTAGTGATTGCTTGGCTCAATTAATAAGATACTCTTATTAAAGATAAGACTGTGGGAGAAAAATGCCATTTCTCTGCATGAATTATTCAGAGTTAATCTCTCTGTCATCTCAGGTTGTGTCTTTGATTTGTCTTTAGGTAATAATATGCTAACAGCAGCCAGTGGGAGGTGGGGATGACACGCTGCTCTCAGACTCTTTGTTTCTATGCTATAATTACTCCTTTTACATGAATATGTGCCTGTTAATACGCTGGAAAGTCTCCTTCTCAACTCCTCCCTGGTTCTCTTTTGTCTCAACATTAGCCCATTCTTATCCCTCTATTTCCATTTCTAAACTGCCTCCACTCATCTCTCTCTCTCTCCAGGCCATCTGCTCCCCCCTGGCCCACGGGACAGCGAGCAGGAGACAGGCAGTGATAGCCCAGCACACAAAAATCAATCAATCCTGCACTGGCCTCAAAATCTGAACTCATTTGAAATTAAATAAATCTTTTGCAAGAGCAGATTGTTGCTGGAGTAGTCAGACAGTCTTAATAATGGGGGGGGGGGGGGGGGGGGGGGCGGACTCCTAAATGTAGACATCATCATTAGAGATTTCTGCTCTTTTATATGATTAGGGATTCCCTCATTTCATCTTTATTTTATCGGACCTAAAATTATTCCAAAACACCCAAGCTGCATATGATTTATTCCTGAGATTTCTACCAGTAAGCAGAGCCCACATAAGCTGGGATTTAAACCGTGGGCAAAGACTAATTAGGGGCGAGGTTCTTTGTTGCACCGGTGTTGGCAATTTACTCATCCCCTTAATCATTCTATTTAAACCACCCGGTGAGGAGAGCGGGGCGGGTGAGATTTGTTTTAAACCACACTAATATTCCTCCCGAGGAAAACTCACCGTGATGCTCTGGGGATTTTTATTTAATTTATTATTTATGTGAGCTTGTGGGATAGAAGCTTATTTCGAGTAATAGTTAGCTTTTGGAGCATTTTCATGAATAATATTCTACAGGGGGAGATGAACAGTGAGGTAGCACTGACCTTAATAATAATTGTGATATTTTTATCCCTGCTGCTGAGGTAAACTATAGAGCGCGCTGACGCACCTATTTCTGCGACATTTAAACTCGAGGTTTATATATCAAAACCCAGATTTTACTACAAGATACAGTCGAAATGTGTTTAGTCTACACTAACTAATCTGCATGATGGTTTAATTAATTTCTGCTGAGGGGTGGAGGACCTTACCGGAGATCTGAGTCACCGGAGCGGTGTTGGTGCTGTACCCTTTCTCAGAGTACACCTGCCGGGTGTCAGCGCAGCTCCTCCCCGCTGCAGCCGCGGGGCTCCGGGTCCCCGACAGGGCAACGGCGGTGCACAGCAGCAACAGCAGCCGGGTATCCATCCTCTCCGCGGGACTCCAAAGCAGACCTCAGGGTGGAGTGAGTGGGTTTGTGGTGCTGAGTCCAGGGTGCAGCAGGCTTGGAATGAATGGATGACCAGATTTGGTTACATGCACGCAAAAGTAATAAAACCTATAGAAATCACCAGTTTTCCAAGGCAGCCATTGTTTTCCAGAATAAACATCCGGCCGGGGATTTACATCACGGACTTTTCCATCAGCGGTGTCCGGTTATTCTTTCCTTCCTGGGAGACCCACTGTCCTACGTAAATACAGAAGCAGCGTGAATGAGAAACTCCCCGGCCTCAACTATCATTTCACTGCGTCAAAACCGCAGAAGTTACCCACGGAACAACCGGAAACGGTAGTGCCTTCAAAATAAAACTTTAATGTGTTGGGTTGTCCTTACAGACAACAAAGGGGGTAATACACTCTTCATATTTTTGCCTTTTATTGTTTGGAGAGCAGACCTTTTGAAGATAGCCATCTTGTATCTTCTGTCCACTACAGTGGACATGACATGAAACAGAACCACGTTCATTATTGATGCCTCAATAGGATTGGCAATGTCAAAATGATGGAAATAATAAGCCGAACGTTTGTGTAAATATAAATGGTAATGCATATTCTTCAGAACACAAAAATGAGTGAACAAAATTTGGCTGAGTTTCCTACAAAAATAACACCAGTCCTTTTTTGTACATTTCTTGCTGCAAATCACTTTCATTATTTGTGTACTACAAATAAAATTGAGTGATTGATCACACTTGTCCACTATAGAGGATGGTTAATCACAAAGATATTATGGTAAAATATTATTAAAATCCTGAAGAAAATAATAGCTTACATTATTTTATGAAAGATAAATAGCACATTTCAAGAGAAACGTTGCTTAATAAAATATTTTAGCACTTATTTATTTTCTTCAATAAAGTGCTTTTTTTGGTTATTGACCCATTGGGTTAACCCCATTCATACAAATGTTGTATCCCCTCTCACAGGACAAAATAAGTGGTTCAGTAGTACAATGGTGGGAGATATTTGAAACCACAAATGTTCCATACGGAGAACATGGACAATATGGTATATATTATTTTAAAAAGTCAAGTGTAAATGAAATGTGAATAAAATTGTTTGTCTGTTACTGTTCAGAAAGTCCACCTCATTATTTTAGCAACACCTTGATTTTTTCCCCTCCCAGTCCCACGTTTTAAGCAATTTAACCAACAAAGAATGAATGTCCTAAGATGTAAAAACAGACCTATTGGTAAACAAATGCTTCATTTAATGTGTTCCATAGTTCCAACATGCAACCAACACAGTCTGTCAAATTCTGAAATAGACAAGTATAATTCAAATCTATTAATTCAAAGTCTAAATAAATATAGTAACATTTTAATCTGTGTATCTAAGTTGAAATTGATGTTTGCTGATAGCTGAAACCTTCAATTGTCATATTAAGTCCATTCACATAAAATATTATTTTGAAAGGCTGGAGCGGAAGCTGAGGTTCAACCTGTTACCTTGACACCAGCAGCGAAAGCCCACAACAATGGGCCCATGTAAAGATACACCAAAGGAGAAGCCTCGGACGGGGAGCAAAGGGGCGTGGAGCTACTGAAAGGCACTTCTCAAGGTTCCAAAACTGTGCAGAAAAGCCAAAAGTATAAACAAAACTATACGACAGTAGCAACTCAAAGAAAATACACAAGAGTTGGATTTGTGAAGTTGAATTAAATGACAATAAAAATGACCAATAGTTATGAAGTGGCTTTATGAAAGAACCAATCAGCTTTTAGCTCGAGCAGGTGCTATCCAATCCAGGACGGAAATACATTCGCGCTCATTAACTTGCAGGCGGGAGGCAGAGAAGAAACACTTGCCTACAATAATAAGATCATATCTCATCCAATAAGGTAGTAAAATGATTGCTAAATATTGTTGGTTATTGGTTTTACTTGTTGCGCTTTTAAATATTTTAGATTTGATAACAAGTATCTGGTGAATTGTATTTGCTAACACGTTCTTGCAGCTGTCAAGCCAAGTTTGTTGCTAGCTGAGACAGTGAGTTATTTAGCTTCACAACTTGACTAGACTTGGGGGGAAAAATTAACGTTTTTGCAACTAACGTATTAATATGAATAGTTAGTTACTCGAAGAAATGATTTGCTGTGGTAAGCATATTAATAATATTATCCTAATTCTCCCATTGTTTCTTTAGTGGACAAAGCCAAAGGTCAGTGAGCTAACGTTTGATCGAAATTGGCTTTTTTGGAGGCCTCTCTGGACCAAAATGGAAAGTGAAAGCATAGATTCAGACAGGTAAAGTCAGCCATCAATGTTTTCTCAATTTGTAGTTAACTGAATATTCATGTAGCAAAGTTACAACGGTATTTGGAATAAGTTCATTCATTTTTTAGATCGTGTAGATGATCGTGCAAAAAACAAAATATGTGTTTTTAAAAATAGGAAATTTAATGTTATTTTTCTTTACAAATCAAATTTTGGAAATATGTAAATTTAGTTTGTAGTGTCGATGAGTTTGCTAAACACTTGAGTACTTTTCCAAATGTTAGAAATACAGTGAGAATGTTAGAAAACTGGAAGTATAGTTGGTAAATTTATTATTTTAGCATACACAGCTTCTGATGATCAATTCCTGTTATGTGTAAAATTATTTGCACTGATACTTGTCCTAAGTTAGTTTTTGATTATCAGTCTCAAAGACGACTCTTCAGATTTTGGAAGTTTGTATGAGCCTGAGGTGAAAACCACAAAGCGAAGAAAGCAGGCTGGAACTGGGCCTCAGGTAAATTCTCAAAAAAATTTCACCTTTCAGATTTTATTCATCAACCTAGTGGGTAAACAGTGACTGTGGTTTTAAGATTTGATGTTTTTATTTCACTGAATAGTACAGCATCATTTAGAAATTACCATAAAAAATCTAAATCACAAAAAAAAAACCTGCAACACCTCAAAAGATCCACTAACAAGAGCCTACCATCCACTGGTTACAATTATCTACCAATCCCTAAATAATTCTTTTTCATGTCAAGCCACCTAAGAGACCAAAGAATAATGCTGGATTAAGAGTGACATCTAGCCCCAACAGCAGCCCCATCTCAAGCCCATCAGTGCCCTCCCAGCAGCAGCAAGCTTTCTCTCAGGGGACATCCAGATGGGTCTCTCCTAGCAGACCTGTGAGGAATGGGAATGGGGAAAGCCCGGAAGTTGGTGCAAAGGACATTTATGATGCCGTCTGCTCCGGAAAAAGTGCCATGGTGGTGAGTAAACCCTAATCAAAGAGCACAGAGGGGAGGGGGAGGCAACAATAGAGATAACCACATCACAGGAGGGAGGAACCAATGTAGGCATGTCTAATGAGAGGTGAAGCAAACTGACAATGAGAGAGATTTTATGTGCTGTCAGTGGCTGATTGATGTGGTTCAACATAATTACTTTTGATAGGCAAAGAGGAAGGGGCAATCTCATTGGATCAAAACACAGTTAATGATTGATGGAACTCATTCATTCAGAGTTTTGTGTTGTGGTCGGTTTTATCTGGATAAAAGACAGAAAGGAGAGGCTACATAGCAAATGAACACACATGTAGTGAGCTGTTTTACAAACTTGTATGCACAGATCAATAAAATGCAGAAGGATGACGAAGGAAGTCAGGTTTCCAGAGATAAATAGAGCAGCTAAAGCTGCAATCAATATTGTTGGTGTATTTTAATTCCGTCTGTTTGCTCTTTGATCTGCATGCAACATTCTGATTGGCTGCTTTCTCCTCGTCACTCTGCAGACGGTGGTCGACGAGTGGCTGGACAGCTACAAACGGAGCCGAGAGGCGGGGTTGCTGGTGCTCATCAACTTCATTGTTCAATCCTGCGGATGCAGAGGTCAGAGGTTAAGAAGGAGGCCAGGAGATGGGTGTTAGCTGGTGTGTGTGTGGGGGGGGGGGATCTTTCCATCCTCAACTCAGCAGTATTGATCCATGTGTTATGTTAATCCTCTCAGTTCACAAAGTGATGCTTAAGTAATGGACTATAAAAAAATGTCTTTAGTTCTGTTTTTTTCCCCCATGAACGTTGTGTATTTTTGCTTTAGGCGTGGTGACCAGAGAGATGCTCGACAGCATGCAGAATGCTGAGATTATCGGCACACTCACCAAAGAGTTTGATGAGGTGAAACAGTGAGAAGTGTTGTTCATGCAGAATGTAGATTTGTGGAAAGAAGACTAAAACTAAATATCCTTATAGTGGTGGAAGTATTAATCATAATTGCTTCTGTCTAGAATTAATCCGTCTGGAATTAGTTTAGAAACTAATAATCTCTGTGTCTCTAGAGATTATGATCTGAAGGATGGGGCGCAGCATGATGGAACAGGCTAATTACAATCTAATGTTTATAAATGAACACATTAATGAGTTAATCACTTTGTTTTTGTCATTAGCAGAATAAAAACACAACCTTCTGTCCCCATGTTAGCACACCAGGCTTAACAAAGGATATTAAAGACACCTTCTTTGTCCGCTCTTTATTGTTTTTGCTTATTTGTTTGTTTCTTCTGTCAGGAATCGGTAACCTACCCTCTGACCACTCCAGGTCCTCAGCTAAAGCGATTCAAAGCTGGTCTGTCTGAATTTGCTCGGGTTCTGGTGCGCTCCTGCAGCAATAGTCTTATTTATGATGAGTACCTCTTCCCCTCCCTTCTGGCTCTGCTCACTGGCCTGTCTGACTCTCAAGTCAGAGCCTTCAGACACACCAGTACCTTGCTGGGTAAACACACTACAGAGCACACAAATCCAAGCTAATAAGTTCAGGTGTTTCTTTTGCTTTTTTTAGTCCAGTTAAGTAAATTCAAAGCAAGTGTTTAAAATATTGCTTTTTAGAAAATATCACCTTTTTTTTTCATTAATTGTATGATTTAATCTGGTATGATTAAATGACTGCCGCGTTTTGAGTTCATGTCTTTCTGACAGACATTATTATGTTCTGTATTTTTTTCTACTAGCCATGAAGCTGATGACAGGGTTGGTGGGAGTAGCTGTGACAGTGTTGGTTCAGCTGCAGACCACCCAGCGACGATATGACATGGAGAACAGCAAAAGTCCGAGTGACAGAAGCTCTGACAGACTGCAGCAACTGAAGGATACCGTCAGTGAGGTGATGCACGCAGCCTCACAGACACCGACCTGCTCAGATATGTTCACTTCACATGAATCCAGGTTCTGGCTAGTTTTATCCAAATTGTGACCACCTAAAGTTTTTTAGCATACACAGTGAAATGGGCATTCAGCTTCTGCTGCTACATTCATCCAAAGGTGAAGCAGCTTGATAAATTTTTTACACAGTGGCGGTTGGATGGGAGAGTCAGCATTGCCACCGGTGGCTAAATTTATATACCAACCGTATACCAATTATATTGTGCATTACTACTAGGGTTGGGTATCGAGCGTCGATTATAACCGGCTCCAGCTGGTAGTTTTTCCCGGAATCATTCAACGTTTTTTATTTTGATTCCTAGAATGCTGACAGAAGAGTCCGTGGCCGATCTCTGTGAAAAATCAACGTGATCTGTAAATTGTGATCAACACTTTTCAGAGCTGATCACACCAGCTGTCTGTGTGCAGCACCGAGTCCCCCCTCCCCCACCTGGCGCGCAGCAGCCAAATATAAACAAGAGCGTCTGCCGGACTTTTACTCCGTAATGTTAACTTTAACTCCAAAAAATGCGGCTTAGAGGAAACGTGTTAAAATACGTCAACACAGTGGGTTTCATATACAGGTGTGAATCTTCACTTGTCTCCCGATTCGATTCGATTACGATTATTGGGTCAACGATTCAATTCGATTCGATATCCTGATGCATCACGATTATTTCATATTGATTTGTCTTCATCAATAAATAGAAGATGTCAGATAACTGCTTTTTATTTATTTATTTATTTTTTATCAAAAACGTAATTGACACAACCTGCCATCCCTCAAAAGCTCTCCATTCACAACAGGTTAGGACAAAACATTTTAAACATTTAAGAAGATTTAACAAAGTAAAACGTCTGTTTCCTCGTTCAACACCACGCCTCAGGCTGAGAAAAACATGCTTTCCAAAAACTCACAAAATCTAAAAAAGTACTGAAAACCTACAGGACACATAATGTAATAATAAATTACATAATGTGTTCATATGAGTGTTTAATGTCTGTGAGCAGCTTTAGAGTCAGATGTTTATGCCACAGTTCAAGGGTGTCAGAAATAACACTAAATGAAATGTTTGACTTAGTTTATTTTATTTGAACCCAGTGGTTCATTTCTGAAATGTTGGAGAATGAATCAAGTTCTGTTTGATGCAGAAAATAATAAAACATAACACAAATTCTACACTTCCAATAATATTTAAGATGCGTGTTTTTATTCTTTCTGATAACACCAGCAGAAGGCTGTGGGCTGGATTAGGATTAAATTACTCAGCTGATGGATCTCTTTCACTAACCAGCTAACTACAAACCTTTCCACTAACCTGTCCTGTGTCGCCCTCACCATGTAACCCTCATGTCCATGCTGTCTCTGGAGGAGCAGATAGGAGACAAGTCTCCTGTAACCTAAAATGAACCAAAGCTTCCCATTTTTTTAAAAATTGAATTTAACATCAGTTTATCATCATGAAACAAAAGAATAAAGTGGAACAAGAACTTCTGTCTTCTATTTCTCTCTCCTTTTAACTTCTCCGTGTCCCTAAATAAAAGAGACAGACGATCTCGCTGCAGCCGCCGTCGTTGACCCCGCCCCCTCAACCCCTCAACCGGTCGCGCTGATTCGGTTCCGGTTCGGTCTCAGGTTACAACTCTAGCGCTCAGCCCTGCAGTACTACATTACGTCGGAACCACTTTGTAATTGTGGAGGAGGCTCACTCTGACAGCTTTGGATGCTGCGCTGGTGCCGCTGTTAAAACATAACTACATTCCACTATAATCGATTATGGCTACTCTTCTACGATGCAGAATCGTTTATGTCCGCATCCTAATGCATCGATTATTTGATTATTTTCCTCATCTCTAATTTAACAGAAGCTTTAAAGAATAAACTTGACAGTGTGAAGTAGGGCTGGGGGTAAACAATTATTTTTAAAACGATTATTCTGACGATTATTTTATCGAATAGTCGACTATTCTAATGACTATTTAGAAAATTAATCTAATGATTATTTTTCTATTGCACAATTAACAAAAACCAGAAAATCTCAAATAAATTCCTCAAAAAAATTGATAAATTCTTACTGTAAGAGAATAAACACTACAGGCCTTCCATTTTGTATAACACTGCGTTTATTGTGTTGGTTTTCTGGTGACGTGTAGAACCTGGGAGTGCAGGCTGCTGCCTGAGAGGTGGTAGAAGATGGAGTGTCTCCATGCTGCTTTGTTTTGGTCACTTATGTGCGTGAGGCGAGTGGTCTTACATTTTAAACTAAACCGAAAACCCACAACACTCTAAATGTAATAAAAGGGAGATCTACACCACAAAAAAGATGAACTCTAAACCAAAACGTAACAGCTTATCCCAACGCAAGAAGCTGTTAGCGAAGATGCTAACAGTAGCTTTACCAACATTAAGTTCAAGTTACCAAGTTTAAATAAACCAAAAACACCCAGCAGCAAACAGACCAGCACGGAGGAGAGACTGCTACCACCAAAACAGCTCTCCTCATGTCTGAAAGAAGCTCCTTAATGAAGGGAGAAGCGCTCCCGGTGATTTTCTACATCTGCGACAGAGACGGAGCAGCGCACATCTGACCCCGGAAGTTGTTGTCCGTTGCCGGGAGACGAAGGGGCAAAACAGGAAAATAATCTAGTAGTGGACGGACGTTGCTCCGGGTCTTCGGTATTTGGCGGAGATGTTAGTGAAGGCGGAGAAGAGGGCGAACTAGAGGAAAAACAGGCAGATTTCTCCTCTATTTACAAACTCCTGGGGATGCAACAAGTGGGCGCGGTGCGTCGACTTCCGGATCTGACGTCGACAAATTTTTAGAATCGAGCCGTCGACTTCGTCGAGGCTTCGCTACAGCCCTAGTGTGAAGTGAGTTTGTCTCACTGCGGAAATAAAAACACAGAGCGTCAGCAGTCAGACGCAGCCGCTCACCAACACTCGTGTGTGTGTGTGTGTGTGTGTGTGTGTGTGTGTGTGTGTGTGTGTGTGTGTGTGTGTGTGTGTGTGTGTGTGTGTGTGTGTGTGTGTGTGTGTGTGTGTGTGTGAGCATCAGAAGGCTGAACAATAACCTGTAGAATAATTAAAGTCATCATGCTAGAGCAGCTTTCTCTGTGGTGGACCACACCAGCTTCTGCCACAATAAATAATAATAATAATAATAATAAATCACACACAAAGTTGTGAACATTTTAATTCCCTATCTGAACTATTTCTGTTGAGATTAAATGTTTAAAATCTGTTAGATGGTTACTGACAGCAGCTACATTTAAGTTTCACTTTCTGTTCTGACTGAATGCTGCTGCAGCATGGAGGTGTAGTTCTCAGTCATCCTGGACATGATCATCCTGAGAGTTTTAGCTGAAAACAGCTGGACGTTTCTGGATATGTTGGAGACATTTAGCCTCTCATCCCAGAGGTTTCTTCCAGACTTTGGTTGTAGTCAGAAACAAACACACTGGTTGTGCTGCAAGTCTTTTTATTTTTTTCTCCTGAACATGTTTTTGTCTAAATGAAGGTGATGTTGTTGTTCATAGAATTAAAATTCATGTTGAAGTTAAGATTATTTCATCAAGTAGGACCTGTGGTTTGCTGGATCATGTAAAACATGTCATGTCTTGAAAGAATCGGAATCGGGAATCAATAGGAACCAGAATCGAAATGAGGAATTGGAATCTGAATCGTTCAAAATCAAACGATGCCCAACCCTAATTACTACTATAAAGTAAAAAAGTGCCACACCGTTGAACAAAAGCTATAATTACTTATAAGTCCAGTAGCAACAAAGCCAGGTCACCATCAGTCCATGATTTCAAACGAGTGTAAGCTGTGCCAATGTTCATTCTGGTTTTAGCTCTTTGCTTTGCCTACAAAGAGATTACTCTTAATTTTACTTCCAAACTCTGCCGTGTTGCCAAAAAAGGCGACTTATTAACCATTGGCAGAGTAAATGGCTAATGCTGTAGTTAAGGAAACTATTGTGCGGTGTGTGGTCAGCAGAAGGCAACAGAGCGATGTCCAAGGTTGCTCAAGTTTCTGGCTCAAGAATCACTGGAACCAGTTTGAAAGCAATAGCTCAAAGTAGGAATGCACCAAAATAAAATCTTGGAGGAAACCAAAAATGAGGAAACCGAGGCCGAAACACTGAAATGAGGTGTAATAAACTCATGAAAATGAAAGCATTGCAATAAGTCAATTACTAAACCATGAAAATATTTATTTAGCACTGACATAACAATGCCCTTTATAGACAAAAACTCAAAAATATTTCACTTAACGCCACTCATTGGTTTGGGCTGTATTAAGGTATTAAACAGATGCGTGGTTGAATTTTCAGCTTTACTTAAATTGTTTAAAATGTTTTTTCCAATTTTTAGAGATATTCCATAAAGTGTATGAATGCAATTTCATCCTGTAACAGCACAGAGAAAAGCGAAAAGAAAAAATGGCAGCTTACGCACCAGCTGACTTGGTGGCGAAATAAAACACAACTTCTGCAGTTTGGGAGTATTTGGGGTTCGAAGCAAACTTTAAAGGAGAGCCGGTAAACACTGGTGAGGTAATTTGTGCAAACAAATGATGACAGTGAAAGATGCATGCCCTGTTGGAAATAGTAGCTTGTTGTCTGGAGTCTGTCATTAAAAAAGACAACAATGCACTTTTCTGGTGGAAAATAAGCTGCCAGCCCTCTCCAGATGTCGCGACTAGCTCTAAAGTAACCGGGTGTCTGCCACAAGCTTATCAAAGCGAGCTTTCAGCAGTCGGGAGGTTGAAGCCAGGAACGGTAAACATGCTGTTTTTTTCAGGCCAAACATATTTTTATGAGATGTGTTTTATTTTTATTTTTTTGAAAAATCTTTATATTATGTGTGTTATGTTGTTATTGTTTTATAATGGTGTTTGCTATTCAGTTTCTGAACGGTGAAGGTCCAAACCAACAGCTTGGTAATTCCACTTTAGGCTTACGTCGTCATATTTAAAGTAGTCCCGGTAATACCGTACACCTTGGTAAAATGTAGAGGAAGCTAGGCGGTTTTAAAATTTGGATATTGCCCAAGTCTACCCACTCATGCAGACCTGCCAACCTGTATGCATTTTACGTAGCAAGTACGCAATTTGGCATCTAATTACGTTGGTACGACTCACCCCTCTGCAGACACCTGAGTTCTGTAGCAAATGTGCACATCTGGTACTCATGTCTGGCAACACGACTCAGCAGCGTGGTGAAGAAGTTTAAGCCAATCATCTTAGAAAAGCAAAGAAAAACAATTCTGCCTAACCTATAGCGTACCCCTGCCCCCTTCCCTGCTCCATCCTACGTCCTGTTCGCTGCCTCTCTCTCCGTCCTCCGGTTCCCACCCGCTGCTATTCTGGCATTTAAAAAGGTATACTCTTTCTCACTGTGTGTGTGTGTGTGTGTGTGTCAGTGGACTGGGCCAGCCAAGTCGTCGCAGGATCGTAAAAGAAGAATAAAAAAAGTCGGGCAGGCACGATGGATGTGAAACTGAAAGTAAAAAGTGTGTCACATAATTGATATAAAAATTCCAGCGATTGTAATAAAACAGCATTACTAAAAGGGGGAAAAATATACTTTTGAAATCAGAATTAATGTACGATTTGTGCCCAAAAATGCACTTTTGGGTCATTTACAGCTGAAATTTTTTGGTGCATCACTATCTCAAAGTGTTAAAAACTCTTTAGTGATGCTTTAAGTTGATCTCATTCCGTGTGTGTGTTGTAGCTGCAAGAGAACAGAATGGAGGTAGCCTCCATGATGAACGCCACCTTCCGCGGTGTCTTTGTGCATCGCTACCGTGACAGGCTGCCTGAAATCAGGGCCTTGTGCATCGAGGAGTTGGGCCTTTGGCTGAAATCAGACCCTGAAGACTTTCTCAACGATGGGTGCCTTAAATATCTGGGATGGATGTTGCACGACAAGGTAAACACAAACAAAAGAAAAGAAAAAGCTTCAAAAGTAACCGGTTATCGTTTGGTACCACCGGGCTTGCATCAGTAGCATCTCATCGGACTTTCTCTTTCTCTGCACAAGATGCAGAATGAATGGCAGATGTAATTTTAAATAATCCTAGTCCACATTAAAAAATGTACTGACCTTCCTTTTAAATAAACTTAATAATCCTTCCAAGCTTCACAAAACTGGAAGTTCTTTTTTTCTTTTGTAAAATCTTGCTGACGAGCAGAACAAAAGAAAAAAATCACCTCACTTTTTGACCTGCTCTTGAATCCATGCACACAGAGAGAAGCCTCCTCTGAACACATTCAGACGTGTGTGTGTGTGTGTGTGTGTGTGTGTGTGTGTGTGTGTGTGTGTGTGTGTGTGTGTGTGTGTGTGTGTGTGTGTGTGTGTGTAAACCATGTTACTGTACTTTGTTTTCTGTTTTCTTGTAGCAAAGTCCAGTGCGTCTGCAGTGTGTGCGTGCACTGCAGGGTCTGTACAAGGAGAAGGAGTTCATTGGCCGCCTGGAGCTTTTTACTAGCAGATTTAAAGTGAGGCTTCCCTCTGGACTGGACTCGTATCTGAATTAATGCTGTTTTCTCCCTCTGTCTGTCTGCCTGTCAGCTTTTTGTTTTCTTTCTACTTTGTTGCCTGTCTGCATCTATCCTCACCAAAATTTCCATTTTTTTTTCTTTTGCACCACTTCTGTTTGTTGTGATGGTCCCATCCTTTGTCTGAGCGTGTGCCTGGTTGTGCTAATTGCTGCCAATTACTGATGGATAATAAGCCCTTCTCAAATACATGAAAACCCTTGTAAGCCACATGTGCTGCTGCAGATAAATGCTCTTTTATGCCGTGGCTCACCGCTCATTCAGTGGCTGTGTGTGTGTGTGTGTGTGTGTGTGTGTGTGTGTGTGTGTGTGTGTGTGTGTGTGTGTGTGTGGGTGTGGGTGCATTTATGCATATCAGTGTGTATTATTTTTTGTGCATTGAGAGTTAGTGTGCAGGCATGATTGTGAATCAGTCTGTGTGTTACAGTATGTAACTGACATCTTTGTGTGTGTGTGTGTGTGCACGCATGTGTGTGTGTGTGCGCGCGCGTGCGTGCGTGCGTGTGTGTAGGAAAGGCTTCTCAGCATGGTGCTGGACAAAGACCCAGACGTGGCAGTGGAAGTGGTCAATCTGTTGCTGGTGATCCAACAGTGAGAGCTTTCTCTGTCCCACATGGTTTCTTTGTGCTTCTGTCTTTGTGCATGTAGCTCAGGGATGTTGCTTTAAAAGATAAAAATAGCTGAATGTGGTACATTCCTTAAATATTTTAACCTAAACTCTGAGCTTCACTGATCTATCTGATACTACATGTTGTTACAATTAGATGTTTTGAAGGGAAAACCTGAATCTTTGTCACACATACCTTTAAATTTTTATTTTCTTTTGGAAGCAAATCCAACATCACTGAGAAGCTGATTTATAGACCCAGTATAGGATCAGATGTACTTGAATTAGGGCTGCTCAATTAATCAAATTTTAATCACAGTTACGATCTGAGTTTTGAACAAATATAAAAACAAAATGAGCTGATTATTTGCCCCTCCCTCTTTCACTGCTTCGAGTCACAAATCAAGCGCTCCTCCCACAGTGTTGCCAACTTAGTGACTTTGTCGCTATGTCTAACAACTTTTCCGACCCTCTTCTTGACTTTTCAAATCCTAAAAATACCTAGTGAACAACAAAGAAGCATTTCTGGTAACCCTTAGCTACTTTATGGATAACTGTCGTCGACATTTCCTGCAGGTTAGCAAAACACTCAACCTGCACTCCGGACTGTCCTTCCGGACATTAGGTGAAGGGAATGATGTGTTGTTCGAGATAGAAACGGCTCACAGAACCGGCTCCCTTTTGGATATCCAGAATAAGTAACACACCTGCAGGCTCCAGAGCCACTAAAGAACTGTAAAATGTGCACGTGTGGCGTGTTAAACACTCACATGCGGCTTTCCCCTACATTGCTGTGAGATCCTGTTGGGGTGGGGGGTTGCAGCACACCTCCGATCGTTGCCTGGGACAATAATCACATTAACTGATGAGACCTGTAAATAAATAGTTTAGAAATAGATATAATTAATTTTCTCATGCTGATAAATATAAATTCTTCTCTCTGAGTGACACTTTGCTGGTTCACTTCTCTACAGCACTGGACAGGACTAAATAATAATGCAACATTTTGTTAATGTCACCAAAACATATGTTTATTTTATACTATAAATGCACTGTTTAATTCTTGCTGTCAGTATTTGTAAGCTTGGGTCTGTATTGGGCATGCTTAAGTAAGTGAAATCTCAGCCTCAAAAACTATGAGCAATTGGCCTTTTTGTACTAGGAATCAGAAGTTGTTTTTGTGATTATTTTGTTTCTTTTTCTCATTTATTTTGGTCCTGATTGTGTCCTTCGTCTTTGTATTCCTCCACTTATCCGGGTCGCGGGAGCAGCATCTCAACTAGGGAGCTCCAGACCGCCCTCTCCCCGGCCACCTCCTCCAGCAAGACCCCAAGGCGTTCCCGGACCAGATAGGAGATGTAACCTCTTCAACGTGTCCTGGGTCGACCCAGGGGCCTCCTGCCAGCAGGACATGCCCGAAACACCTCCCCAGGGAGGCGTCCAGGAGGCATCCTAACCAGATGCCCAAACCACCTCAACTGAACCCTTTCGATCCGGAGGAGCAGCGGTTCTACTCCGAGTCCCTCCCAAATGTATGAGCTCCTCACCCTATCTCTAAGGCTGAGCCCGGCCACCCTACGGAGGAAACTCCTTTCGGCCGCTTGTATCTGCGATCTCGTTCTTTCGGTCATTACCCAAAGCTCATGACCATAGGTGAGGATTGGGACGTAGATCGACCGGTAAATCAAGAGCCTGGCTTCCTGGCTCAGCTCCCTCTTCACCACGACAGATCGGCTCAGCGTCTGCATCACTGCAGACGCCGAACCAATCCGCCTGTTGATCTCCCAATCCCTTCTACCCTCACTCGTGAACAAGACCCCAAGATTCTTAAACTCCTCCACTTAAGGTAGGACCTCTCCCCCGACCCGGAGTTGGCAAGCCACCCTTTTCCGGTCGAGAACCATGGCGTCTCATGCAGACTAGTCTTGAACAAAGAAGGGAAAAATAAGAGTCATTCCGTTCCGTTACACTGTCTAGCACTTGTCCCCGGGACTCCCAAAAGGGTGGGTACTCTGAACTGATATTTGGGGCATAAGCACAAACAACAGTCACGACCCGTTCCCCGACCCGAAGGTGCAGGGAAGCTACCCTCTTGTCCCCCGGGGTAAACCCCTACACACAGGCAAAGAGTCTTGGGGCTAACAAAAAGCCAACCCCAGCCCTCCGCCTCTCACCCGGAGCAACTCCAGCAAAGGAGAGTGTCCAACCCCTCTCAAGGACTTGGGTTCCAGAGCCAATGCTATGTGTCAAGGTGAGTCCGACTATATCTAGCCGGCACCGCTCAACCTCTGCCACAAGCTCCTGCTCCTTCCCCGCCAGCGAGGTGACGTTCCATGTCCCAAAAACCAGTTTCCTTGTCTGGGGATCGGACCGCCAAGGCTCCCGCCTCGGTCTGCCACCCGATCCACACTGCACCGGACCCTTCATGTTCCTCCTGCGGGAGGTGGGTCCACAGTTGGATGAGCCCTTGTATCCGGTTCGAGCTGGGCCCGGCCGGGCCCCATGGGCGAAAGCCCGGCCACCAGGCGCTCGCTCACGGGCCCCAACCCCAGGCCTGGCTCCAGGGTAGGACCCCGGTAACCCTCCAGGCCGGGTACTCCTACTCCTTGATAGTTCATCCATGAAAGATCCTCTGAACCGTTCTTTGTCTCACCCTTCACCTAAGACCAATTTTTCATGGGAGACCCTACCAGGGGCACAAAGTGCCCCAGACAACATAGCTCCTAGGATCATTAGGGCACTCAAACTCCTCCACGATAAGGTGACAGTTCAAGGAAGAGTGTGTCCTGAGCAATTTTATGACCGATAAATAAACGGATAAATAGAATAAACATTATTTTTAAAATCGTCTTAAATAATCGAGATCTCAATTTCAGTCAAAATAATTGTGACTATCATTTTTGCCATAATCGAGCAGCCCTAACTTGAATCTCAATAGTGTTAGTGTCTGATCCTTTTTTTTTTTTCTCACCCAACCAGCAAGTGACGATCGTTATGGATTCCTAATAGATATTGTGGTTTTGCTTAAAATCTCACATTGTTGGGTGTAAAATTAAGGAAGAGTATTGCTTTCAGCGCAAGGGAAAATGTATAGCAGCAGTATTTCATAATAACGAGACATTTATTACGAATAGAAATCTTGTTTTAACGAGAGATTTTCTTGATTTTTAATATCACATCAAAATGAGATGGCTCTAAAGGGTGAAATGCCAACATCTTCAGACCTGCCAACCTGTACACATTTTGTGTAGCAAGTACGCAATTTGGCATCTAATTACGCTGGTACGACTCACCCCTCTAACTACGCAAAAAGCTGCAGACACGTGAGTTCTGTAGGCAGCAAATGTGCATGTCTGGTACTCATGTCTGACAACATGACTCAGCAGCCAGTCATCGTAGAAAAGTGGAGAAAAACAATTTACCTAACTTATAGCGTAACACCCCTGCCCCCTCCTCCCTGCTACATCCTCCAGTTCCCACTCGCTGCTGCTCTGACATTTAAAGGGGCATTATGGAAGTTTGACAGCCAGGGTCCGAAATTAAATGTTTTACTCACCGGCCAAGTTAGCCGGTAGATGATGAAAATCTACAGGCCAAGCATATTTTTTACCGGCCAAAATTCTAAATGATTTAGATCCACCTAAAGCATGTTATTCTATATTATGTTGATTCCAAACAGAGTGACAAAATAATTAAAACATCAATTAATAAGAAAAACAACTCTTTCGTCATTTTCACTATTTATTTATTTATTTATTTTTAGAGATGTTTTTATGAACTCTTTCATTGAAATCTAGTCAGACTCCTTGTTTTCTCTGTCCATGAAGTCTGGCCTCCTTTTTCTGACACCATAAATAATGGCCAGAGGAGACGGCAGCACTCGGGACATTTATTATCCCCTAAAGAAGACAAAGTCGGAAGTATGGGCATTTTTTGGATATTTGAAGAATGCCGAGGGACAGTTGATAGAAGACGGCTATCCTGTTTGCAGCACGAGCAGAAAAAGTGTCTGTGAAAGGCAGCAACGCTACGTGGCCATCATAATGTAGCCATTGTCTCACGACTCCGCCATCTCCAGTTCGCCACTTTTCACAAAATCTTCTGGTTGCCACAGGTCCTGGTGGTTTTTCTTCCAGTTCGACGAGTTTTCTTTTGGAAGGCTGGCTGACTCCAGTTAAAAACCGCCACATTTCACCGCTAGTTTTAACACGAAGCTAACCGCTAACCTGATAAACTGATTGAATGGGATAGGTGGAAATGACGTTGGATGCGGCGCTCACGTTTCGCGTACGTTTGTGTACGTTGCGTGCAGGCGGGAGGAGTATCACAGAAATCCATGGAAGATGACTGATTATCATAACTAATTTGGTGCAAACATTTACTCGCTATGTGGCAGATAGAGCTCAAAAATTTACTCGCCAAATGGAGCAATTTGCTCGCATTTGGCGAGTGTTAATTTCGGACCCTGTTGACAGCCAAAACATGTATAGAAATAATACATTTCTTCTTCATACATTCTCCTGCAATGCCCTGGTCCTGTAGAATGAGCCCTGGCATTTTTACTGTGATTGCCTGTTTTTCTGTAAAATCACAGAAAAAGAGCTGCTCGGGTCGAGCAGGCTGCTTCATGTGCGTTCACGCTCAGGCATAGCTATCAGTAGCTTTAGCAGCAGAGAGTGAGGTAGTGCCAACTCAGCGACTTTGTCGCTGTTCCTAACTCCTAGTGATGAACCTAGCTACATTTCTGAGGACCCTTAGCTACTTTCTTCTAGAGGATATAAATATTACAGATACAAAAGACGTCACTGGTGCTATAGAACACCTAGTAAGGCGGCGGACTCTCGTGCGGAAGACCCGGGTTCGATTCTGGATGTGAACGTAGTTTATTTAGAGTTTTATTTTTTACATTAATGGTATATTTTTTTACAGTAAGATGACCAAATTTTTATTTGAGACTCGCTGAACGGCATTGAATTCACAGATA